CCGCTCACAGGGTTGTCATGGTTACCCTACGCGCTCGGCTCCGGTGCTCGAGGCCCCACCATCTTTCCAGGCACCTTCCCCAAGCTCATCTATTGTTGATGAGTTTAACTCAGAATTAAGAAACAGCAAATAGAAGAAATAATCACCTATAAAACCCAAAGGGGCTATTCTTAGATCGAAAGTGAAATGGTACAATGAAGGAGAAAAGAAAACAAAAATAATCTTTCCATAATCTGGAGAAGTGGCACTTTAAGGTGTTTCGATATAGTTTTTCAGAGGCCATACCGATATTTTTCAATCGCTCTTAAAGTGATTTTATCCTTGTCTGATCGCTACAAAAATTTCATCAATGATTGAAGATTTGGATTGTTAAGTAATTACTGTATAGTAGCAATGTATATGTAAGTAATGCAAATGATACAAATAAACAAAAAAACAAAAGAGGAAAGAGATCTCTACCAAACCCCTGACACTTTTCACATCAAGCGCGGACTGCTCTCTCGTTAACCAGTGATGTTAGTCACATACCACACAACTTACAAAAAAAACAACTCTGTAACTACTCATAAAGCAAGTTGGTAAATAATAAGAGTGAGTTTGATTGACTGTTTTCAAAAATAAGAATATGTGGAAATTTGTGGAAAATCTCTTCAACAAATGATATTTTTTCATTATAGGCAAAACAAGAAGAAATTTCACATTTTGTGCAAAGTGGGTTAACCTTTTTAACACATCCAAATCCACAAACGTCAAAATATTGAAAAAGCAAAATCTGATTTTCTGTGCATGCCTGAACTGAAGATAACATTTTGCATCTGGAACAAAAGCCTGTCAAGTACTCCACCTGTAAACAGCATTTTAAACAGAGCCAGACAAGAGAGTGACCAGAGAACAGCTCGACAAGCTACAAAAAGCATTTGGATCTTTCCCTTTGACAACCATGCTATCTTCATTCACTCAAAGAAATGTGATAACATCTTTCAAAATTGCTGCTTTATGACAAAGTACTACAAACGATTTATTATCTTGTGAAAGGTTTGAACCCACAAGACATTTATTAAATAGACAGGATATCATCCTCATATCATATCCCACCTGCTTATTTATAACCTTGTTTACATCGGTGTTTTTACCCTTCCAATAAATAGGTTCGACTGACGAAACCTGGCTGCTAAACATGACAAAAGAGGAAACTTTTGCTAACTTAAAGTTTAAGATGAAAACTTAAAAGTAAAGGACTCTTAGAGCCATAAAAACAATCAAAACAATCAAATCTCACCTTGAAATCTTTTATCCAGAAATAGGAGACCTCTATACAAGGTTTTGGAGTCAACTTTTCTTTCACTGAATATAGCTTTGCTCACAATTTGCACCCGATGAGACTACTGTTATCACCCTGTGTGAGGCAAACATAGCAACATAAGATGAAATTCTCGACCAATCAGAGTGCACAAAGATCTCTTTAATAACCGAAACAACTATACTGAAATTATTTACTCTTGAGTTTACACAGTTTGTTTCTTTTCTTGGCAATAAACAAGACATTTACCAGCAGGTAAATGCAGTTAATGGAACATGACGCCCTGGGGGACTGGGGGGTAGGCTGAGAAAGCCTGCCCTGTCTTAGGCTCGGTAGTATCTTGAAAGCCTGATTCATTAAATGAAAGCACTCTATTCTTTAAGCCGAAAACAAAAGCTCTTCGTGGCTGGAACCTCACTAACTTGTTGCATGTTTATCATTGAATATTTTCTTAACTTCGCAAAGATTGTTCTCTATTTTTAAGGCCCTATTCATGGCTAGACCTTAATCATGACAAGTTGAGGTAGTTAATGGTACAATTGTGTCAATTGGTCGTACTTTGAGATACTGTCTGACTATAAAGTATTGCTAATGTGACTCCTAATCATTATTTGGCTAGCTTGCACAAAAGCAATCATTTAAAGTAGTTTTGTTACCCGCCCTCCCTCCCTAAGGAGGAGTGGTTGTTAAGTTATATCTCAATAAATTTTGGTGGGTGACTCCTTGTGGTGCACTCAAGTCTGCGTTGCAACTTCCCCCAAGCTTTTGGCATTGCTTGTGTCTTGCCATCTTTTGAGCTATTCCTTTGCCTTAATCCCGTCCAATATAGCCCGTGCGGCACTGGGGAGATAAGAAAGGCTCTGCCAAGACTCTTGACCTACCCCACGGTAGTGGGGCAATAAGTAAGGCTGGAGTTATTTTGTGTGCATAACCCCAAGTCACTATAACCTGCCACAGGGCTGTGTCCCCCCCCTTATTACGCCATCATGTAATTGTTGTTTATTTAGCCTGCGTCTGTCATTTAGTTGCATAACGTTTGCATGCTTATCTTACAAGCAGAATAGTGACATTAATTTCCCTTTTCTGGTATCATCTGACTACAGGCAGCCCAAGCTCAGTGTGAGGGTTAAATCATTAATGCATGTGGTTTCATATTGCATAATCCTTAAAATGGCAGTGAACATAAAGGATTTGTACAGGAATTCAGGTAAAAAATTTGAGAAGGTAAATACTTGCTAGAATTTTCAATAGAATACACCTTACCTCATTCACTTTACTTGTTTTTGCTTGCTGTGTGGTTATTTTCCCAATCCATTGCGAGGAAACTCAGGGTTGAAGGAAATCGCATAAATTGCAATGGATCGGGAAAATAACCACACCAGAAGCAAAAGCAAGTAAAGTGAATAAGGTAAGGTGTATTTTATTGAAAATTCCAGTAAGTATTTACCTTCTTGAATCTTTTAGCTGAATTCCCATACAAATCCTTTATGTTCACGGCCATTTTAAGGATTATGCAATATAAAACCACATGTATTAATAATTAAACTCTCACACTGAGCTTGGCTCGCCTGTGGTCTGACTACAATTTTTTAACCCACCTCCACGTTTTGTGAATAATACATTGAAAATAAGGTCTCCCAAGCGAACTACAGGCTTGTGGCTAGAGTCTTCATTTCACCTCATTCACTGATTGAACAAGTTAAATAAAGGATTTTTCCAAGCCTGGATTCGTTTACTTGAAATATGTTAACTTCTGAAGCGGACACCCACAGCCGGCTACACATCTTCTTTTGCACGCGCACGATTTCCATGAAGTATCGTTCAGTGTCTCACTACTTTCACGTCTTCAGCACACTTTTAGGAACTTTCAGAAAGACTGTCCCACTTTCCTGATTTGGAAGTTTCCTTTACAGCGTATTTCCAAATCATTTTGTCATTTAAAACTCTTTAAAACTTTGAAAACAGACCATTCTGTCATCTCCATAGCGCCATCTTGGCAAAATGATGATGCGCACTAGAATTGCGCAGTGAACACATATGGACATTCACGACTCCCCAGGGTACTTCAAAATCGAGGTTGATTGAGAACGGTACTTTTGCATAAATTTTATGTTTACGCATTAACTTCCATTTACTTTCATCCGCATCCAATAGAGAGCTAACCGCAGGTCCCGTCTCACAGCACTTTCACTGACTTGTTCTTGGAACCCACATCACTATTCGAAAGGAGTAGGGGTCAAACTTTACGGGTTGTGGGATTGGGTAGGGATGGCACCTCGCATGGGACCTGAGTCCCTTTCGTGCACATTCCCTCTGGGTAGGCTTGTGTCCAGAATAGCTGGTAAATAAATAAATAAATAAATAAGGGGGATAGATTAAATACTGATAAGGGTAAATGAAGGCGGATGGAGGCAAATGAAGGCTAAGGGGAGTAAATGAAGGCGGATGAAGGCTAATGGTGGTAGATGAAGGCGGAGGAAGCTGAATGAAAGCGAATGGGGACACTGAAGGTGGATGACCGGTGAATAAATGCTGATGGGGGTAGATGAAGGCAGATGTAGGTGAATGAAGGCTGATGGAGGTAGCCGAAGATGAATGAAAGCGAATGGGGCTAGGTGAAGGCAGGTGGAGGTGAGGTGAAGGCTAGTGTGGGTTGATGAAGTCGGCTAATAGGGGTAAATGACGGCGCATGAAGGTGTGTAAAGGATAATAGGGGTAGACGAAGGTGAATAAATGCGAGTGGGGGTAGATGAAGGTGAATGAAGGCTAATGGGGGTAGATGAAAGTGGGTGGATGTAAATGAAGGCTAATGCCGTGATGGATGAAGGCGAATGAAGTTCAGTAAAGGCTTATGGGGGTAAATAAAGGCAGATGAAGCCCAGTGAATGTTAATGTTGTAGATGAAGGCAGACAAAGGTGAATGAATGCCAGTGGAGGTAAATAATGGCGGATAAAGGTGAGTAAAGGCTAATTGAGGTAGACGAAGGTGAATGAAAGCGAATTTGGATAGATGACGACGGATGAAGTTGAATGAAATTACACAAAAACCGACAAACAATTCGGGGAAAATCCACTGCCATTTTCACCTGTCACTTATGCAGGATTAGAATAAGCGCTATTGGCAATTACCTTGATTAAAGATAAAGATTCACCTACGAATCATTCCAGATAAAATTCCCCGCGTAGTTGCCCGCAAAGTTATCCATCCACTATTCCGTCAGAAAGATAGACGATAAAAATGTAGGCAAAAAAATATAAGACATTCAAACTGTGGCTTTTGTGCATGTGTAAAAAACAAAACTGAAGCTTAATTACACCCAATTTGTAGGAAAGTATGCCGTTAGTGTACGAGTTGCAAATCTCATTTTAAGCCATTTCCAAGCTAAATAGCATGAAAACTGGTCCAAAGAGGAGTTGGTAAAAATGCAGGTATTCGCCTCTAAAATTCTAACGGCAAGGGTACCGTTAGTCTGCTACACAGCCGTTTTTAGTGTCGTCACACAACGCTCCTCCCCACTAGGAATGTAGTTCAGTTTTCAGCAGCCGTTAGTGGGAAGGAGCGTTGTGTGACGACACAAAAGACGGCTGTGTAGCAGACTAGAGTAACGTAACTAACATCTGAAATTAAAAATAAGACAAAGACACTACTGATTTACCTACTTTTATTATTTATTGAAGAGGTTTAATTCAAAATAATTTATCATGCGTTGTTTACCGATACGGTGTAAAAAAAACTCTAAGATATAAATACATTTTTACAGTGGCAAATGTAACGATGTACAAATAGCTGTTCTTTGTGCAGCCGATTCAAATAGAATGCTTTACTACATGGGCTGCCTCTACTACAGTGGGGCCCGATCTCTTCACACGCGGGTCAGCTATAGGAACAGCCAGCCTATTGAAACAAAAACAGTGACATTAGTATTAGGCGTAGTCTATTTGGATCGCACGCGCAAGACGGAAAGCGGAAAACGTGACCGGCGGGGTGCGCGCTCCCCTTGAACGAGCTTCTGTTGCAATGTTAATGTAAGACTGAGAGGCGACTAGGGACGAGGCAGGTATTAGACCTGTTCCACACTACAATGGCAAAAAGTAGTTTCACTAAAAAGGATTATAATTTTAGCAGATTTTGAATCGGAAAAGCGCCCACAAGTTGATATCCTAGAAATCAAGTTTCAGAAACTGTGCACAACAGTCAAAGTAAAACTAAGCAAGTAAACTTTCGCGTGAAAATTGAGCGATACTTGACAAGACCCCGGGGACAGGCCTTTATTTTACCGCGCCCTAGTGGAATGTTATATGAGTGACTATGAGCCTGTGAATAAGATCCACGTTACTCCAATCCTGGTAGAATGTGAGCGGACCCTTACTAGTTAATCGAGTTGAGAATAAGTTGAAAAAGGGCGAACAAAACGGAAAGGAGATTACACGGAGCTGCTCGCCCTCGCGAAAATCGTAAGGGACTGCTAACAGTCTACAATCTTAATTGGAGAGGGGGGTGGAGTTTTTTACTTTTCACAGTGTAAATCGAGCACCACACGTAGTACCCAGTATAAGAAAGGAAGACAATAAAAAAGGAGGTTTAATTCACAGAACTGATTTCTTAATGCACAAAAACAAGTGAACAAGGACAATGGAGAGAGGTGTTGACCCTTGCCACAATCATAAGGGACTGCTGAGAGTCCACAATCCTGGGGGGAGGGGGATGTGGATGCTTTGCCCGGGAAATCGGCACCTCAAATGACAATCTTTTTCTGAAAGGGACGAAAAAGAGAATGGAAGGGAAATCCATAGAATTGATTTATTAATGGTCCTATCCAACCTCGCTCCGGCGGCCATATTTGTGCCCCTCAAAGGGGCACCAACATGGCGTCTCCACACAAAGCCTCATAAATTTGGGTAAAACTTTTTTCCGAATATCTCTCATATGAATTATCGCACAGACCTGGTTCTAGGCCAGGCTTTTGTATATTTATCTTCTTTCATTTCCAGGATTCTGGACCTTTTGTATTGACAGGTTAGAATTTTTATTTTTGATGGCGTTAAAAATTCGCCCCCACTTTGTACAACGCCTTTTCACTTTTTTTCAAGCGCTTATCCTGGGGCGCTTATCGTCATCACATTCAGTCTTACCTGACATTCGTTTTGCTGTTGACAATAAATAGTGGGTTGTACTGACTCAAGATCTCATCATTGACTGAAATACCTGAAACATAACAAAAAAAATCATTTGTTAAAGGTACAGTTATCTTGGGGATACCAAGGGGCTGCCGTGTCGCCTGTCTTGTTTACTCACAGGCGGCCCAAGCTCAGTATGAGAGTTTGCCTGTACAGATGGAACTTGGTGCGCTCTCTTCTGCGTTACCTCTGACGCTTCAACGTAGCGCGCTCTGTTCTGTGTTCGTTAGTGACGCTAGAACTTAGCTCACTCCATTTTGTGTTTGCTTGTGACGCTACAACTTAGCGCGCTCTGTTTTGTGTTTGTATGTACAGCTACACCTTACCTTACCCCGTTTTGTCTTTTCTTGTTAAGTCACAATTTGGCACGCAACGTTCTGTGTTTGCTTGTACAGCTACAACATAGCTCGCTACATTTTGAGTCTGCTTGTGACACTACAACTTAGCGCGCTCCGTTTTGTGTTCTTTTGTCCAGCTATTTTGTCCAGCTATTTAGTTTGTTTGTGACGCAACACCTAAGCGCGCTCTTTTCTGTGTTTCCTCGTGACGCTATAAACTTACCGCGCTCCATTTCATCTTGTTTTGAAGTTGACAACACAACTTAATTCGCTCCATGTTGTGTTTGCTTGTGATGCTACAACTTAGCTCGTTTTACTTGTGTTTGTTTATGTCGCTTCAACTTAGCTCGCTCCATTTTGTGTTTCCTAGTACCCCTACAACTTAGCGCGCTCTGTTCTGTGTTAACTTATACAGCAAAAACTTAGATTCCTCTCTTCTGTGTTTGCTTGTGACGCTATAACTTTGAGCACTTTGTTTTGTGTTTGTTTATGACGCTACAACTTAGCGCGTTCTGTTTGTGTTTGCATGTACAGCAAAGACTTAGCGTGCTAAATTTTGTGTTTTCTTGTACGGCTTCAGCTCAGCGAGCTCTCTGCTGGGTTTGCCTGCACAGCTACAACTTAGCACGCTCCGTCGTGTGTTTGCCGCCCAACCTTTATCCGCCCTGTTTGTGTTGCTACATCTTTGCGCGCTCTGATTTGAGCTAATTTGGGTCGCAACACCTAAGGGCGCTCAGTTTTGTCGGTTTACATGTAAAGATTTAACTTGGCGCACTCTGCTCTATGTTTGCAAGTACAGCTAAAGCTAACCTCACTCCGTTTTGTGTTGCTTGTACAGCAACAGCTTAGCTTCCTTCATTTTGTGTTTGCCTGTAACTTGGTGCGCTCTCTTCTGTGTTAGTTTTGACGCTTCAAAGTAGCGCGCTCTGTTACGCGTTGTGACGTTCTGTGTTCGTTTGTGACGCTACAACTTAACGCTCCATTTTGTGTTTGCTTGTGACACTACAACTTAGCACGTTCTGTTCTGTGTTTGCTTGCACAGCTACAAATTAGCTAGCTCCGTTTTGTGCTGGCATGAACAGCAACAACTTAGCACGCTCTGTTCTGTATTTGCTTGTGACGCGACAACTAATCGCGCTACGTTTTGTGTTTGTTTGCGACGCAACAACCAGGTGCACCCAACGACAATTTTCGGAAAATATCTGTTTGGAAAACGATTAGAGATCTAAAATTTTCGGAACATTTGTTGTAAAATTTCTTGCTTGCCTGCCTCTCCTAGCATTTTCGAACATCTAAAAAATGATATAATTGCGCATTTCTAACGGATTTTTACCCTTAAAAGGTCACCTAGAATTTTCGGGAGCCTTTTTTCTGGCTGAAATTTTCGAAAAGGTAAGTTTTGATCCCTATAATTTTCGGATCATTAGACTTTCAGCTAGGAAATCCGAACAGATGAAAAATTTTTAACAATGCTATGTTTAAGTGGTTTTGAACTATATTCTTGTTGGGTGCCCCTGTACAACTAAGCGCGCTCCATGATTTTGTGTTTGCTAGTGATGCTGTCGTAAAGCTACAACTTGGCGCGCTCCGATTTGTGTTTTACGGACAGCTACAATGTACCTCACTCCGTTTTGCATTTCCTTGTCCAGTTACAACTTAGCACGCTCCAACTTAGCGCGCTCTGTTTAGCAAAAACAGAGCGCGCTTATTTAAGAGCGTTTATTTAAGTTTGATTGTGACGCAACATCTTAGCGCGCTCTTGTCTGCATTTGCTTGTGACCGTAAACTAATCGCGTTTCGTTTTGTTTGCACGTACAGCTACACCTTACCTTCAACGTAGCGACGCTTCAATGTAGCGCGCTCTGTTCTGTGTTCGTTTGTGACGCTAGAACTTAGCTCACTCCATTTTGTGTTTGCTTGTGACGCTACAACTTAGCGCGCTCTGTTTTGAGTTTGTATATACAGCTATACCTTACCTTACCCCATTTTGTCTTTTCTTGTACAGTTACAATTTGGCGCTCAATCTTCTGTGTTTGTTTGCACAGCTACAACTAAGCTCGCTCCATTTGTGTCTGCTTGTGACACTAAAACTTAGCGCGCTCCGTTTTGTGTTATTTTAACCAGCTAAAATTTAGCGCACTTGATTTCAGTTTGTTTGTGACGCAACACCTAAGCGCGTTTTTTTCTGTGTTTCCTCGTGACGCTACAACTTTCCGCGCTCCGTTTTATCTTTCTTGGTTGTTGACGCTACAACTTAATTCACTCCATTTTGGGTTTGCTTGTGATGCTACAACTTAACTTGCTCCGTTTGTGTTTTGTTTGTGACGCTATAACTTGTTCCATTTGTGTTTGTTTATGACGCTTCAACTTAGCTCGCTCCATTTTGTGTTGCTTGTGCCCCTACAACTTGGCGCGCTCAGTCTGTTCTGTGTTTGCTCGTGCAGCTACAAACTTGACACTGTCTGTTATGTTTACTTATACAGCTACAATTTAGCTTCCTCTCTTTTGTTTTTGCTTGTGACGCTACAACTTAGCTAGCTCCGTCTTAAGTTGGTTTGTGATGCTGCATCCTTGCGCCCTCTGACTTGAGTTTATTTGGGACGCAATACCTAAGCGCGCTTCATTTCGTGTTTGTATGTAAAACTTTAACTTGGCGCACTCTGCTCTCATTTGCATGCGCAGCTACGACTTTAGCTCACTCCTTTTTGTCTTTGCTTGTACAATTACTACTTGACACGGTCTGTTCTGGGTTTGCTTCTATAGCAACAGCTCAGCGTCCTTCATTTTGTATTTGCCTGTAGAACTTGGTGACAGAACTTGATGCGCTCCCTTCTGTGTTACTTCTGACAGTACAACGTAGCGTGCTCTGTTCTGTGTTCGTTTGTGACGCTACAACTTAGCACGCTTAGTTTTGTGTTTGCTTGTGACGCTACAACTTAGCACGCTTAGTTTTGTGTTTGCTCGTGACGCTACAGCCCAGCACGCTTAGTTTTGTGTTTGCTTGTGACGTTCCAGCCTAGCACGCTTAGTTTTGTGTTTGCTCGTGACGCTACAGCCCAGCACGCTTAGTTTTGTGTTTGCTTGTGACGCTACAACTTAGCACTCTCTGTTCTGTGTTTGCTTGCACAGCTACAACTTAGCTAGCTCCGTTTTGTGCTTGCATGTACGGCAACAAGTTAGCGCGTTCCATTTTGTGCTTTCTTGTTCATGGTTCAGCGCGTTCTGTTCTGGGTTTGCTTGCTGAGTTTCAATTTAGCACGCACCGTTTTTTTTTATCCTACATCTTAACACACTCTGATTTGAGTTTGTTTGAGACGCAACACCTTAGCGCGCTTCATTTCGTGTTACGTATAAAGCTACAACTTGGCGCGCTCTGTTGTTGTTCTATTTTGCTTGTACTGCTACAACTTGGCTCGCTCCGTTTTGTGTTAGTTCGTACAGCAACAACTTGGCGCGCTCTGATTTAAGTTTGTTTTTGACGCAACACCTCAGCCTGCTCAATTTGCGTTTTCATGTAAAGCTGGAACTTGGCGCGCTCTGGTCTATATTTGTTTCTACAGCAACAACTTAGCGCGCTGTGGGCTATGATTTAAGTTTGTTTGTGATGCAAAACGTTAGCGCGCTCTATTCTGTATTTGCTTGTGACGCTACACCTAATCACGCTCCGTTTTGTGTTTGTTTGTGACGCAACAATTTAGCTTCCTTCATTTTGTGTTGCCTGTACAGATAAAACTTGATGCGCTCTCTTCTGTGTTATTCTGACGCTTCAACGTTGAGACTTCTGCCCGGACTTCTGTTCTGTGTTCGTTTGTGACGCTAGAACTTAGCTCGCTCCATTTTGTGTTTGCTTGTGACGTTAAAACTCTTAGTGCACTTCGTTTTGTGTTTGCTTATGACGCTACAACTTAGCGCGCTCTGTTTTGTGTTTGCTTGTACAGCAACAACTTAGCGCGCTCTGATTTAAGTTTGTTTGTGACGCAACGTTACAACTTAGCCCGCTCTATTCTATATTTGCTTGCGACGCTAGAACTAATCGCGCACCGTTTCGCGTTTGTTTGCGACGCAACTCAGCACGCTCCACTTTGTGTTTCCATGTACAGCTACACCTCACCTCACTCCGTTTTGTCCTTGCTTGTACAGTTACAACTTGGCGCGCAATGTTCTGTGTTTGTTTGCACAGCTACAACTTATAGCTCGCTCCAGTTTGTGTTTGCTTGTGACACTACTACTTAGCGCGCTTCGTTTTGTGTTTGGTTCTAACGTTACAACTTAACTCACTTCATTTTGTGTTTGCTCGTGATGCCGCAACTTGGCGAGCTCTGTTATCTGTTTCCTCGTAAAGCTACAATTTTACGCGCTCTGTTCCGTGAAACTGTTTGTGACGGTCGAAACTAGCCTTCTCTGTTTGTATTTTGGCTTTGTGTGTGTTTGTAACAAACTAGCCTTCTTTGTTTTGAGATAACTCGTTAAAAGTTATAAATTTGCTTAATAGTCAGATTGAAATAAAGAAACATACCGTCTAGGTACTGCTTTAGAACTGCTCTTAGCTGCTGATTTTCTTGTAAGAGAGTGTGCTTCTCTTTATCAAGAGCCAGCTTGTCAAGCAAAACCTAAAAAAAGAATATATAGCGTTGAATGCCTAATCCATAGCTAACAATTGGTTTGAGCTACGAATGAATCTTAAACTTAAATAGTACAACAAACCTATTAACACTTTCACGAGGGTTATTGGCAAAAAGCGCAGAACACGAAAAACTACACATTCAGTCATGGTCCACTTCATGCACATTAAATTGGAAGATAGGAACATAGGAATGAAAACGTTTTGCTTCAGTGGATAAAGGAATAATGGTCGCAGGTTATTTTTTAAGACTTAACCCGCGATTAGGAGGTCCTTTTTCCCCTTTTGGATGTTTCTTTGAGCTGTAAAAATCATCTTTAAAATCCTCTTTAATTTATGGACAGAATTACTCCCAAGTTGGCGGGGAGGGTAGTACCTCTGGGCCTTGTTATGTCTAAGCTACTACATATGGCTAATCTTAACTGCTTGTATTTTTTTTGGTTTGTACTTAGTTTGACAAATTTACAACCACCATGCAGCTGAAGCTAAACAGTGAGAATTGTGTTGTTCACAAAAAATATACTAAATAATAGTGCCGCACCTCGCCCTGTTGTATAAATGGCTACCAGGGTATTTAATGCTGGGGTAACTATGCAATGGACTGGCATCTCATCCAACATGGGTTGGGGAGAATAGAAATATTCCTTGTCACTTCATACTACAGAAACCAGGTAAGTAAGTTATGATGAGCTACTTGGCTGAACTCCAGACTTCACCTTTGCCTGTTCTTATAAAACAAACTAAACAGTGGGAGGCAGCACTCTTCAACTGGTAGTCTTGTTTATGACATACCTTATTGTATCTCTTCCAAAAATTTTCCAGAGCAGAGTATTCATGAAGAATCTGTAAGTTACACAGCAAAGCAAGGGTTATAATTAAATGCATTGTGTGACCTCTCCTCTAAATGATGTTTGTAACATCTGCAGTAAACTCGACACTGCTCTAAACTCATGCACTGCCATGGATTTTGATGAAGCTATCATTTTCTTACATGTGAAAAAGCATTGTTGCTGGCTAAATCTTTAAAGGAATGTAAAGTCATCAGTCATTAAATGTCTTTTGTTTGCTAAAAAGGCAGTTGGTTGAAGTGTAATGTTGTCCCATAATTTAATTTGAAACGTTAATCTGAATTTAATTTTGACCGGTAACATTACAATATTATTCACCTCAGGCTCAGTTAATATGGTTGAGGGGATTAATCAACAATATTAACTTCGCCTTGTAGCAAATAATAAAATTGCTAAATTGTTCATTGGTTTGAAGAGAAGTTGTAACAAAAAAAACTGATCAGTCCCCTGGAACACAGTTTGGCAATGTTCTTGGAAATCATGCATTGTGCATACAATCTAACTAAGTATTCTGTAAGTAGCACTGATTTCCAAATGTAACTGAAGGATTCTAACCATTGGGAAGACAGACAGTGAGCACAATGTAAAATAAAACAACTAAAATACGTCAGTAAATTTTCTAGTAGAGTAGTAGTCTTTACCTCAGCCAGTGGCTCAGATGGAGCTTCCTGCATAGCAGCTGCTACATCATCATCTTCCTCAGGAGAAAGAGATGACGCATAAAATGGAAGAACTTTTTCAGCTTCTGTCTCCAGTTTACGACACATCTCAGAAAGTTTAAGAATGCGCTCACCCTAAAAACCAGATAAAATGGGCAATATAGTGTCATACACATTCTGTAAGATTTATTACTTCATATTTACATTTACGGGGGATATTACCTTTTTGGTTTGACAAGAAGTCTGATTTGCAAAATATAACATTATTTTATAAAGTGAAAGTAAGTTATTCTTTTCACGCTGAGGGTATTAGTGTTTACCTTTTCACTTGTCCTCTTGAGTTCTTTGATTGCCGCATTACTTTGAAGTGTGAGCTGAGTAAGGCGTGACCTAAACAGAGATTTCACAAGATATGAAAAAATACAATTTCTACTTATAAGAGCAGGGAATTAGGAAAACTTGATGAAATAAATAGGTGAATGCATAGGTGGGCAATGATCAAACTAAATGTAAAGTGGGTTGACCTCGTGTTAGTTTATTGAGAGATTCACTAACATTTTTTATTCCTAACCTACAGATAATTCAGAGTCCAAAATGTTTTAATTTCACTGTTTTAATATTTTTGTTTGAAAGTTTCCATCAAAGAGTTATGATTCTTTACAGTATGTGGCAATATAACTGTTATGAGAAATGATTGTTTATATACCTCTCTGAATCTCTCATCTTGTTCATTTCAGCTTTCAAGTCATGAAATTGAGTTGCAACTACTTCTCTTTGCTAAAAATCAACAATCACCAAAGCCATCAAGAAAGAATAATACGCATCAATCTACCGAGTACCATTGTCAAACCCAATGATATCGCACCTGCCTTCCTATGGCTCATAAATACTTGCACACTATTCTCTTGGGTGTGTAAGAGCCACGTTCTCCCCCTTCCCCCAAGCCACACCCTTTTCTTAACGCCCAAAATGAATAAGGGCAATACTATTACTAGGAAATTACACTCACATCAGCCACTGATCACATGCTATCAATAAATGTATAACAAACAACAATAGTGTAAACTGTGTAAGACTCAAAGCTGATAACATTAATCACTGGCTTAGGACATTATTTTATGAGTAGTAAATAGGGATCAACAAGAACAGTAAGGTGTTAAACTAAAACCCATTAAGACAGTAAAATGGTCTGCCCACGTTTGTGTCCTGCCAAGACATAGTTTGTTAATGGCTGATTTTCTTGTTACATTAAAACATCCAAATCCTTAACAATATATCGTTCTAAAGGCCTGGTTTTTTATTCATCCACCCTCAAGTGCATGTGGTGTGTCCCTCATAACACAATATCTATCATTTTATACCTCTTTAATGAGTCTGTTTCTTTCATCACATTCTTTAGCATTGCTTGCCATTTTAGCCTTTAGCTGGGAAATGTTATCCTAAATGAAAATCATGATGTAAAGTTAAAAGATCACAAAAATGTTGCATTGCTAATAGCACTCTCAACATGTAAGTCATTCCTGAAAGGATGATATATTGACAGCTTACTGCCATTTTAATAATTCCACAATGAAATTCCTATGAGTAAAAAGTACTTTAATTCCAGATTTCCTTGGTTAATGCAAAGCATAGAGTGACATTATCATTATAATAATAATGCTCTAATTATTATCCTCTCCCCTTTATGGAGCTTTTCAGGGATAATGAAGCAAATAATTCAAAATTAATGGACCACAACGTGGTTAAAAATCTCAACTGATATGAGGCAAACCAGGTGACTACCGAGAGCAAAATCCAGCTAATGGTCAGGGCAGGACTTGAACTTGGGGCCTCCAGGTTACAAGTCCAGCGTTCTAAGCACTCGACAATGCTGCCTCCCCATTATCATTATCAGCCCAGCAAAAGGAAAAAAAAATGAGGTGAAAAAAAGGAAAGAGGAGGGGAGGAGAGAGTCAGATCAAAAATAAAAGGTCAAGACTGCTGTGTCACTTAAAATTTTGCTTTTTGCACATGCTCAAACTTCAGAAGGTAAAATTTTACATTTGGATCGCACCGCCGCAAAGTGTATGACCTGTAAATGGCTTTGTTTGAGCTCTTTATAGAAAGACAGTGCCAAGAAAACAGCTTGAGTAGCCCTTCAAAATGCAAGTTTTGGCAAAATTCTCAGGAGCAAATGTTAAACACTCCCACAGATGATGGTCTCTTAAAAGTGACAACTTACAGGTACTGACACAATGGTTGAAAATTTCATTGTTTTAAACCTTCTCCATGTATCAATGAAACTGGCCCTCATAATGTATTTTTGATACGTAGTGGTCAAAATTTTTCTTCAGTTTTATGATTTATGACTTGAGGGCACTGAATTAAACCATCTAAATTTTTAATTTTCCATGTCACTTACAGTTATTAGGAGTCTGGAAATCTGAAGTATCTTGACCCAAATAACTCAAATCTTCTCATTTCTAAACACTCTGGCTCCCTAGTCAGCGAGCCACTCCTAATTTAGGAAACAACGTTTTACTTGGCACAACTACTTGTCACCCAACAAAAATCTGGGAAATCTATATCATAAAGGAACCAAAAGTGACAATGCAAAATTTCACCATACCACTTCCCTCTGAAAACTTATAGAAAAGGTTTCTAGGTCCTTAATACAAACCTGTATTCTCTGAAGTTTTCTCATCTGGGTTTCTATTTCATGAGCACTTTTCTCATCTTTAGCTTTGAGATTTTCAAAGGCCAGTTTTCTTTCCTCTGTTGTCTCATTGTAATTCTTTAAGGCCTGAAAATATAATTAAGAAAAATTTGATTACCAATAATAAAAAGAAATCCAAGCTGAATATTGATAAATGCAATTTTGCTTTAAATAATCAGTTACTGATTCTTATTGTCTACCTGAAAACTTAAATTTATAACTGCATTCACGCAGCTGGCTGTGTCTCTTCTTTGCTCACTACCTGGTCTATCAAAACATGCTTTTTAAGGTTTATCTAAGAGTTCAAAAGCTTACTTGTTGAAATTGTCTCCACAAATCTTCCACTGTTCCCTCCAATTGTATTCTTAAAGCATGCTTTTCTTCAAGGTTCTAATAAAGATAAAAGTTAGAAAGACATTATCTTACAACACACGTTCAAGGCATGTTCATCAAGTTATTGGTATGCAGCCAAAGTTTTCGTGAAATGAAACAATGTGGCAGATATACCTTGTGGGTGTATTCCAGAAATGGTAAAGTCGTTATTGTTATTGAGTCATTAAATCAAAGCTTTCTTAGCAAATTTTACCACTGACGGTTACCTTGTTTTTTATTTCATCTCTGAGGCTTTGAAAGTCTTGCTTAGCATCATTTTCCAGTTCATTCCACTCTTCTTCCATAGCAAACATGATGTCCTGTATGTCGTGCATTTCCTTTCTATGTTGACTTACTATCTTCATTCTAAAAATAACCAAATACGTTTTAAAGATCTGCACAACATCAAACAATGGTTCTCAAAGTAAATTTCATGAAGTTTTATTTTTCTACACCCTATTTGTTAATTTTAACACCCAATCTTACATTTAACAGTATCTCAGAGAAACAATAAGGCCATAATTTCTTAAGCCACAATCTCATCACCTTTCTGTGTCAAATTCTTCTTTTAGGATCTCCTGTTCTTGATCATATTCATCTTGGGCTTCTTGTAGCCTTCTTTGTTGTAAATCTTGAAAGCAAAGATGCAAAATGAGCCATTCACAGTGATCTTAAATTTCACTAGGTTGATCATCATAACACATAGGCAAAATGAACACTGATGCAAAGAAAAGAATTTCTAGCATTTCTTTTGTCATTGTAGCGGTCTCAACTTAAATAAAACAAATTTAAACCAGAAAAACTACAACATATGCCTCTAGTTAAGAAGGCTCATAAAGGGCGCTACTTGTAAAAAGATTGCTAATTTTACTTCTCTCAGTCCAACTCCAATCTATGCGTGTTTATTTTTTTACTTCAACATCTTCATTCAGTATGTACAAGTCAGCAAAATAATAATTTATCCTTCACAGAATATGCAAAAGGCAGCTGTATTAACAAAATTACAACCTGTCTTTAAAGCTATACATACCTATTAGCCTATCAACATTCTGTAAGTGACTTCTAAGAGCCATTTGGTATTGTTCTTCAGCTTCTTCAATGTCCTTTACTAGAGACTTTATAATAGCCTCTTTTCTGTCTATTACGCGCTCAAACGTTTGACTCAGTATCTCTATGTCTTTCTTCAGTTCTTGTGATTTAGCTGTTCAAATTGAAAAAGATATGGCATTAAACAATTCAGAGTAAAATTTTAAAAGAGTCTTTAAAACCTTCTCTCATTAAAAACTTGCTGCCGCATTGAATTTGATGTTATATGAAAAACAGACATAACAAACTGTTTGGTTCATACTTAAGCTGTGCATATAACCATGTTCTGATTGAGAAAACTGCATGGCTTTATCAAAAACATTGTTAAATATGGCTGTATTATTATGAGGATTCATTTCAAGCATTTTATTACATCACAAGGGAAAAACGGATTTGACCAGTGGTGTGCGACAAATGCAGACTGCAGACTGTCAAGTAAGGGAGGTAAGCATTGCTGTGAAATGCTTTAACAGATTCCCTATCCCTAAACTTTAAATCTTGTAAAAGTCTAATTTAGGGATAGGAAACCTGTTTAAGCATTTTAAAACAAGTCTGCAGTCTGCAGTATGCATTTGTCGCACATCGTTCGACCAGGGGTGCTTACAATAACAGAATCTCCCCAGGTGGAAATTTTTTTCGTAAGCATAAAACAATAAAATTTGACGTAATGGGAGAGTGACTCCCTACAAAGTATATCAGCTTTAAAGATACTCTAAGAGCAGAGGTTACATTTTCGCTGGGTTAGCTGGCGTGCGAAAAGTAGCCTCTGCCAACAACCGTTCAATTTTCTATCATGCATGTGCGAAATTCGGCACATAATACGCAAACAAAATTAATTGTCAGGTCTGTTGTCAGATGGCGTGAGTTTTGCGGGAATAAAAAAATTGCGACAACCTGATGACTTGATTCTGCTACGCAAGACTCACCCAAGACTCACGCAATGCTCTAAACCGCTCAAGAACGGGAAAAAACCAATTTGTTAATTTATTTGTCCATATTTCTGGACAGATTTGAATGGCTTTCGGCAGAGGCTACTTTTTACATGATAGCTCACACTGCAAAAATGTAGCCTCCGCTCACAGGGTACTTTACAGACTCAAAAGAGTAGAAACATTGAACTGCTTCAAATCACAGCCCATATTTTCTGAAGCTTCCCAAACTGAATTCCCGGTTTTTCCATGTAAATGGTAAGAACCCCAGATGTTGTCTTCGGCTTCATTGAGAAGAGATCTGGGTACGAGATTATGACTTTTGACCAGTAACAGCTGAGATCAATCAACTGTAACAAGTCAAGCATGTGACTGGTCTTTATGATAGGATCTTTTGAAAACTAATGGATGGTTTTAATAGTGAGAGCTGACCTTCTCGCATTATGACTCTCCACTGGTTTTGAAGCTTGTTCAAATTAAATTTTGTACTTTTTTCTTCTTTTGACAATTTATCCTAGGAAAAAATATAAAACAAAATCATAGTATTTAGAGCATAACACGTGTAATGAAGCAAGAGAACGTTAGAAAAGTGCTTTTACAACACCAAGAGCAAAGAGACAAGGTTTAAATTTAGCAAAATAATGATTGCCTTTTTGTCATCACCTTCAAAAACTGCGTTAACATGTCCTCTTTTTTCTTCCTCATTTCTTCTTCTGCGAGTCGTTTTTGCTCCATATATAGAAGCCTCTCTTCTTCAGTCATCTTAGCAAGTTTTTTCTTGCCCGATTTCTTTTTCTTGGGCGGCATATTTGGTAAAAAATTAAAGAAGTTTAGATCTGTCAATGCAAAAACAAGATGGAGTTGATCAGTTGTTGCTGTTGACAACATTACCGCTGGTTTTACATATTGTTGGCTCAATACCTTGCACCCAGGCCCATCTCGGTCATTAGCTCAGATCTGCGAAATCTAATAACTTGAGAACTTCTTGAAAATTCATTTTTCAAAAAAGACATATCTAGGTTTGTATTTATAGATGGTTGAAAAAATGAAGAAAAGGAGAATTGGTGTCGTAGGATTTGGACACCTAGGTGAGATTCCTGGGCGGAACAGGGAGAGAGGGGGTTGAGTCTGTTTAGTTTTGCTCAGCCAAAGTAGATTTCGTCTCTTTTAGCTCTGTTTGAGAAGGGCTAATTTTTTTGTCTAGCCTGTTCACAGACCCACTGTTTTCTCTTTAGAGATCGTCAAGTGCGCGTATAAAATTTATAAACCGCGGGGGATTTATAAACCGTACGCAATGGGAGGAACGTCTGTGGATAGGCTATAGAGGATTTCACGCTCATAGTTGTATCAGGGGTAATCAGGGCAATATGGCGGGAAATTCAATGATTTGTGTTGGAATTCAAAGCCAGCTAATTTTTCCTGAATTCATATATTTGATGCTTTCTGTTTGAAAAGAGTAACTTACGAGTTCAAAAATACAACACACTAAATCTGGAGTGGCTTTGAATTCCAATACAAATCTTTGAATTTCCTGCCATCTTGCCCTGATTACCCATAATGCAACTATGAGCGTGAATTCCTCTATTCTTTTCGTTTAAATATCTCTCTTTTTTAGGGCAATACTTGGTGGAGGAAATTCTTAAAAGAGATGACCTTGAACTAAGCTTTGTTTGGAATAGAACTGTAAGTGAACTCAGGGGAAAAGTCGATGAAAAATACATTTTGGAAAATCTGCCGTCCTTCCCAGACAGGTGTGTTAATTGAAAGATGTATTGATAATTGAGAAATGAAGTTTATCCAGTCAGTGATGCAGGTGGCTCGCAAAAAAATCTGAGTTCTCCAAATAGTAGTTGAACCTTCGATCTGGCCAATAGCCCAGATGCTTTCACTAAGCTACAGGAGACTCATGATAGCTAAGGCTATTCTCCACTTTAGAAACAACAAGGGAAATGGAGCCAAACTGTGTCCCTCCTTTGTTTCTGGGATCTTTTTCTTGGGGAGCGCCGGCCAGCTATTGGCCATTTTTTCCTGGTCCCTAGTATAACAGTCCCAGAACAGTCGGGACAGTTGCATCTTATTTAGGATGCGTCTATGCATCTTATTTTTCCTTGTATATATGGCACTGTTGAGAAATCCTCCAGGAACTGCAAGGAAACACAGAAGGTTCTAGCTGCTGCTCCCAAGCCAGTAACATGAATTATACTACTGTCAGTATTAACAAGTAAATTACCAACTCAAATTAAAATTGGTACTGCAGGAAATTTAACAATACAAAAAACTGATATGAAATTTATGTGATACCTGGATATATATTAAATTTTTGTCAAAATATTATTGTCTTATTGGCAAGTTTTTAAGAAAAAAATAAAACAATCATATTGTATTGACATGTCATAGGGACTATTATCCTAAATAACATTTACCAGATACTAGTACAAATATTATTGAAGGAAGTTAATCCTACTACTGAATAAAATTTTAACTTTTCACAGGACTCCAGACCTGATTGTAGAGGTTGCTCACCCTTCCATTACAGTGAATTATGGGGAAGGTTTTCTTGATGTTGCAGATTATATGGTAGGTGCTTTCTTCAGGGGAATAGGAACTTAAATAACATACTGCCAACTCTCTCTTAATGGACACCTCGGTAATACATACACCTATGATTCACAGGTCCCTACCTTTCTTGACTCCCTTCATTTGACCCTCAATAAGATGGACATCTCTCTAAGCTGGACACTAAGTGCCAGTCCCAAAGATGTCCATCTTGGAGAGAGTTGACTGTAATATGTTTTTGGCTTCCTCCTCCTCAAGCAGAAACCCAAAGCCAGTTTTGCCAAATTAGGTACATGCAGATCACCATATTAGTACATGATACATGACAAATTATTAAAGCCATGTCTTATGACAGTATAGTGGTAATTAAGACAATGTTAATGTGTCTCAAATAGAATTTAGTGTTTTCTCTTGGATTTCCTTCATAACATTTACATTAACTCGAACCTCCCACTAACTTGAAGTAATTTTTGTCTCCCTTCAGGTCATTTCTGTACAATTTTACCCTTGATAACTCGAACCAAAACAACCATGTGCTTGTCTGATTCTTTTTTTTTAAATCAATATTTCTCTTGCTGCCCTTGAAGTGAAGTGTACTTCATGATACTTGCATTCCTAATTCCCATCCCATTTCCTAATCATTTCCGGTCACTTGTTTCAAACTCCCAATAACTCAAACTTTTTTCTATTTTCTCTATAGCTAGAAGGTTCGAGTTATTGGGAGTCAACTTTACTATTGTATATTTTACAAGTCAATACAATACCACTTAGTAGGGGTTTGACTGTTTTAATGATTCCTTCTTCTGCCATATTCAGATTCTCAAAGGGACTTGGACTTCGAGGTCCTAAATTTTTGCTTTGTGTGTTTGTTTGTTTGTTAGATAGGCTCACCCACTGCTTTGGCAAACCCTGATATTGAGAACAAGCTGAGGGACAAAGCCGCAAGTGGAACACATGGAATTTATATACCAAGTGGAGCATTATGGGGCGGCATAGACATCAAGAAAATGGCAGACAGGGGAACGTTAAAGGTGCACTGAAATTATGTTGAATTAATTCATATACAGTCTAACCTCTCCTTATGGACACCTCTATAATACGGATGCCTGTCTATTGCGGACAGTTTGTTTGGTCCCAGAAATGCCAAAAATCATACATTCCCTACCTCTACAATATGGACACCTCTGTAAAGCGGACACTTGGTACTGTCCCTTTGGTGTCCGTATTAAAGAGGTTTGACTGTATAAAGCAATTTGCTTCCTAGGGGGTCATTTATCATGACCAAGCTCTTCAAAATGTTGTATTTCTCCTGCGATCTCGGTAAGAACATTAATTAAAGCCAAGGTCATGGTATTTCATAATTCAGACAGCTGGAAATGGAAATTGGATATTTTCCCCTCAAATATTTCCTTTCACTTGATTCTCAAAATTATTTTTTACAAAACATGAAATGCTTACCATTTTATCTCACTTAATCCTTTATATACGATGCCCATCATATGCTATCCTTCATAGTTATTTTTGAACTTTATTTCTCATTCAGGGACTTAAAGTTACCATGAAAAAGCATCCTTCATCTTATAAATTGAATGAACCACTGAAGTCAAGGAATGCACTAGTCAAGTCAGAGGCAACAGTTCTATATGATGGTAGTTTTTTTTCTTACTGTTGTGTTCTGTTGTTGTTATTTCTAAACATTTATGTCATTCTATTTTTGTTGTCCTCCAGGTTGTATTCGTGACCTTTGTCCTTTAGCTCCAAATAACGTGAATACAATGGCTGCCGCAGCTTTGGCAGCACATAATCTGGGATTTGACAAAGCACAAGGATGCATTGTGGCTGACCCAAGGCAAGATACAACTTTTGTTCAACTAGTTATACATAATCCCCAGTTGTTCAAAGCCAGATTAGGATAACCCAGGATTAATGTGTAAGGCCTGGTTCTCATATGCTGCTGGTACCACCTGGGCTACTTCTCAGACGAATGAGAACATGCGCCGCCAGCTACTAGAGCCATCACAGAGCTTTACCGCCGGAATGCCTCTGAAGTTGAACTCAAGTCAACTTCGCGCAGGCATGCCAGCGGTAAAGACTGGAATGACCGATGTTGCTGGCCACTTCTGTTCTCATATCAAAACAGTATCCCAGGCAGTATCGGCAGCCATGTCACAAGACATGCATTGCTAGCATATGGGAACCAGGCTTTCGTGTGACTGAATGCTTCCGTTGATTCTTTTTACCTACAATTTGATGTTTGGACCCTTTAATCCTGGATATGTTTAGCAATAATCATCCTTCAAATAACCATGGCTATCCATGGAACAACTAGGCCCAGAGAAACAATGAAATATTTACAATGCAGGCAGCAAATAAATTTAAGGTCGCTGGCGTCACCTTGAGCTCTTTGTTATGCATTTATTTAAAGGGTATGCAAGAAGGACAACCACTGATATTGACCAATTTACGAGATTATTCATAGCTGGGTAAAAGATGACAGTGAAGTGTTCATGTGCACATGTGGCACACAGACTGCGAGCACAAAAGTAACAAATGGGCTCTGAATCAAACCTTGTTTCAGTGATAAATAAAAATAAAGAAATCTTTAGAAATTTCAACCAAATTTAATACCATGAAACTTCTAGTACATTTTTTTTTCCGCTTCAAAAATCCTTGAACACATTGTAGCTTATAAACAAAATGAAATCGTGGAATGTATTCAACCATAATTACCATTATTACATATCTTGGTTGGAAACCATGCTTTAGTCGGGACACCTTCAGGAGTCTCAAAATTTGACTTTTCTGACAGTTTTATGTCCAAGAATTCAGCACAGATACAAAACTTCACGAGCTGGCACTGTAGAGGGGTAAACTTTGTAGACTGTAGTGTGTTATGTATTGAAGATTTTGCTCATTTAAACGATTATTATCTTGCTGGCAAACTTTAAATTGCAAAGTCTGCTCAATACCTAACACACTAGAAATTTTGACCGATCATTAATTTTGTTAATAAAATCAGAGAGTGCAGTCTTCTATTCTTTCCACAAACTTGGACACAAAATCATGATTTCCCAATTGGGTACAACTGTGGCTTAACCCTGTAAGTCCCAATAGTGACCAAGATCAATTTTCTCCTAACAATATCCATACATTGTCAACAGATAAGTTATGAGAAGTACTAAAATGATCACCCAAGTAAAAATGCCTTAATCTTTTATCAGATTCTCTCAACTCATTCTTTAAGGAAATGTATGGAGATCAGTTTGGAGAATTTGTATGTGGATACTGGGGCTTAAAGGGTTAAAGCATCGCTGTAAAGCATAATCCACCAAATAAAACACAACCGTCCTAAAGTTCCATCATTTCACAATGTCTAACTAAAATTTTATCAAAATCACCTCGAAAACAGCCAAGATTAAATAAGCATTTTAAGATGTAGCACAAGCAAAATTTTGCCTTATGAATTTATTCATAGATAGGTGTCCCCTACAGCCTTAACCCTTAGATAAATCCATTTTGTTATAAATATTGCAGCCTTAAGGCCCATATTGTGGAGGTTGATGTCTTTGGACCTGGGGAAGTGCAGAACCAGTTTACAGTGAAAACAGTTCGTCACAACCCTGCAGCTGTAGGAGCTGTTACAGGAAATGCAACGTATGCATCTTTCTTGAGCAGTTTGTTGGGTAAGAATGTTATCATTTTTGTCATGTCAAGTCCAGGAATGCTCACTCCTTTTTCAGGATGTTTCTTGGTGTTGTGGAAACCATTGTTGGTTCACTTTTGTGTTGTGGTGTGGGTATTGTTCAGTGTCATTTCAGTCTTTTGTATTGCGTCATTAATGCACAAAATGGCACGCAAACAGCAAGCTATTGCAACAACACTTTACGAGGAACTGCAAGCAAGCAACTGCATATATAAGTCACGAGGTGCCCCTGCTAGAGGCATCGGGCCACCCCTAGTATAGCTGGGGAAACTGCTGACCAGCATTGCTTCGAGGTTAACTTTGCCTAAATTACATTTAGCCACATTCAATGTTTTGGTGATTACACCCATCCACAACACCAAGTAGCTACCCTTTTTTCAGTTCTTGCTGTAGCAAGATAAACAAATGAAACAGTACAAACTTTAAAAATTGACGAATGAGGGTTTAATACCATTGACTGACAATGCACTCAGCTCACTTTGTTTCTAAAGATGACCACTGCACAGTTGAAATTAGTGGAAAAGCAGAAGGATGATATGCACCTCCCTTCCTCACTCCTAGCTACTATTCCATGTCCATACCCACCATGCAGGTTATCTATAAGCTAAAAACAAGAGTAGTGAACACCCCTTTATCCCATCCTGGCTAAAAACGATCACATTATAATGGCCTGAAAATTGTGAACAATTGGCTCAAAATTCTATTGTTTCTTTTCAGGAGCACACAGTCAAGGTCCTGGACTTCATCTTTGTTGAGCATAACATTTGACACGTCCCCCGAAAGTTTCATTACCAGAAGCGTTGTGAGTTTCTGATGTAACTAGGGCCTCTTAGAGCTAGCAGCTGACAGGTTTCACAAGAAACTGTGATGCTGTGTGGACAATTAAGTGGAACAAGAAAATTGCCACTGCACTTCTGCAGCAATAGTTAGTCACACCCTGGCAAAACTGGGATCAGGCCAATATATTTTTCTCCCCATAAATTCACGTGGCCTTGCCATCTTCAGTAGACAAGTATGTTTATAAAAATAATGAAACCTAGCAATAAAACTGTTACAAAGAAAAAGCTTTGTGTAATGTATTTAATGTTCCAAAATAAATAAAGGTTCTACATGTGTTAGTCTCCAGCGAGGTCATTCTTTGTCTCATCTTGCACCATTCCTCCCCTCCTTTGGAGAGGTTCTGCATTCACATGGAGATTTCCAACAGGTTTTTATCCAAAATGTTCATAAGAAATAGAGGAATGAAGTTCAGTTAATTCTGGATTATCTTAGACCAAAGCTTATGGGTTGTAATTCATTGTACCTAAATTGGGATTTGTGCCAATATTGTCCTTCAGGCAAATCGGCTGAGTGCTTTACCCAGACAAGATTTTTTTCTTTGCAAGCCACAGAAAACACGAGTGAACTAAGGTCTGGTCTTCTCATAAGAGGTTTGTCTTGAAATTTCTACAGTAGTGCACTTGGTGCCAACCAGTCCAAAAGACCACACTACTTGTAAACTTCTTGAAATGATAAATAACTGATAGTGGCCTTACAAAATTTAAAAAAAAGGTGCAGTCGTCTTCTGGTTAAGTCCACGTATGATCTCACAAGACCCACCAAAACCAATGACCACACAAATCAAGTACTGTAGTCCATCATCGTAAATTGGGTTCCTGGCGTCCCATTCTTTCTTCCATCAATGCCAGTCCCTTCTAATATTGCACTCCGCAGGCCAATGGCTTAATGTCAATGTCCAATGTGAAGATCATCTGAACTTAAAGACATGGTCCTGAGACAGTTTATGTAAGACCCTGCTTGGTGGTCCAGAGCAGTACAAACTTGCGACATCCTGCTAAACAGGGTTAACTGCAGTGACCAAGGCCAGGTATCAGACATATCGTGATAACAGACAACAGATTGTATTGGGAAGTATTCTAAAAGCATTTGAAATTAACCAACAAAGAAATGACACCAAACAGTACGCTAGGACAACCAAGTATGTACGGAAAAATGGGTATCTCACTGGCAGTGAAAGAATGGAATAGTCTATGGAACCATCAGTACCTAGAAGATAAATCACAGTATCAGGTTTATTAAGTGCCACATAAGGTTCCATGTAATCACAGGTTAGAGAAATACACCTCTTCCTACAACAAACTTTTTGGGGGACAGTCTCTTCTCTCGATTGATATGCAGGCCTGAATTGCTCAAAAGATGGTCAAGGTAAAGGAGCAGCGAGGAGTAAAGAGGGCAGGTAGTAAGGGCACTCACTTCTCACCAACATGGTGGAGGAGATGCTATGCTTTAACCCAGTTTGCTTTTGGTTCTCTTTTCTGCAGCAAAACATATTTTTTCCTCCAAGAACTCTAATTTTCCCCTTTCTACATTAACCAACAATCCCACTCCCAAATTCTAAAACAATCTGGAATACACAAGCATCTGAAAACTAAAACCATGTAACTTAAACTTGTATAATAATAATTGCTTCTTACCCACTACACTTGCCCAGCACCCCCCTCCCTGGCCACACCAGGAATCATTTACCTGTGATTTCTTCCATATTTAAACAATACAAGGGGCTCTCAAATACAAAAGAAGAGAACTGCCTTTTTAAAAATCAGTTGTAACACACCATTTGTCAAATTTCTAGTTTCCTACTAGCCATTTATAAAAGTCAAAGTAGTAGAAAAACATAATTTAAATGCATTAACAACCGTTAATCATCACAAAACTCCTCAGGCAGATCTGCTTTTACAAACTGCCATTGTAAAGCACTTTTTAAAATTTCTTAAAAGCCATTTGCTGAAGTCAAAGTAATAAAAATTGAAGAACATTCAGAATTTTCAGTACATGCGCAAATGCATGTAACACTCTTAACCCCTTCACCTGGAGCCAAAGAGGGCTGCTGACCGATGATTATGTTTGAGTGACCTTACCTAGGATAGCTATAGCAGCACCCATCTTGTCAGTTCCCATTCGATAGCTACATGTAGGTACTACATACTCAGTAAAACGGACGGATCCAATAAGGTGGTGAAATGAAGCAGGCTAGAAAACAGTGGAGACACTTTTCTCAATATGATCTCAGACTCAGGGTCCAAACTGGCACATTTTTGCAGGTTTGTACATGTTACAGGTCTTAATTTCAGGTTAAAATTTTTTTAACCTAGGTTGATTCTCAATTTCCATTGTCTCCTAGACCTAATCCATGAATAATTATGGCTAGGAGACAAACAAAATTGAGAATCAACCTGGGTTAAAAATTGAAAACCTGAATTTAATTTTGACCTGTAACATATACAAGAGCCGGTAAAAGTGAAGAACAGCTCCCCTAAAAGTCTGTTGGCCGAATGTCGGTATACTGTCGGCCAACTGTCGGCCGGCAGTATACCAACAGTTAACCGACAGTTGACCAACAGCAAACCGACACATATTTATATTGGCTACATAATTATTTACTACCCGGCAATGTGGCCGATGCAGAGGCCCTGCCGGGGAGTCCCATGTCACCCGTCTGAATTTTAAAACGTCTTGTGTCGGTGTTTATAAATGCTTGTCACTTATTGTCAGCTTTGATGTCACTGTCGCAATTTGGCAGAGGGAGGTTGCCTCTTGTTGCGATTTCATTTTACACACTGTTGCTACTTTTGGGTCATATCGCTTGTCGCAATTTACCCTGGCAGGGCCTATATGCACCAACCTGGCTTTATGGCTATGTGGTTATGCAGGTAAGTGCCAATTAATGTGGGTATGCGCCTACATGCCTACTACACATTTTACTTACTGCCATGTCATTGTTTTAGAGTCGTATATAAAGAGGGTGGAAACTGTCTTTAACTAAAGTGAACCGGACTCTAATTTTAATTAATTAAACATGTTTAGTGGACGTTTAACCTGTTGATACTAACTGAAAGCCTAGTATAAGAATCTTAAGTTTCAAGTCATTTTAGATCTCCTCTCCCCTAACCCTCAAACAAGTCTTGATGCTATTGACAAACATACCAAGGTATTCAAGACTGTACAAATGTAAAAGTTGTCCCGTTATTTCAAAGAAGGTTTTTGCATCAGTATACTCACCACATGAATATCTCCTGAAAAGGCATATGTTGGTTGGATGGCATCAATTAACTTGAAGGAATAAAAACAGGACATAAAACAATAAACCAGGGGTGATAACAATGCTTGTGTATAATATTAGAAAAGCTGCTAACTCAGGTTTTGAGGAATTGTATGACCTCAAAATCTTATATGGATATACATGTAAATTACCCTATCTGCCATTCGTATGTGGTCATTGGAGTCACATAAAAGACTTCAAAGCTGTTTGCAAGGCAAAGGCAGTTTCTTCTTTTTCGTTTATTTTAAGACCGCCCACTGCCTGAGTATTCGTCTGGAATAGGGGATTGAGCCAGCGAGCCCCTCGCTCTGCAATAAAACCCTCTACCAGATTACTAAATAACCAGATTCACAAAGCAAAATGAAAATTAGATACAACCTTGCACAAAACTGTCTTGTTATCCGAGGCAAAAATCGAAACAATCGCTAACTTAATGACCTCAGCTATTATTCCCCCTATCACTAGTGGAAGTTCTCAAGAGATGATCCATTATGACTGGCAAATACAAGTTTTGCCACTCAATTTTCAGACAAGGCATAAATGGACATGCAAGCTGTTTTTTTTTAAGTTTGTGCCTAAATATCGTATACGCATAATTTAGTTGCAGAGTATTAAAAGGCCATTTGACAGTGCATATATAATAAGACAGTGATAACTTCATATTTCACATTCCACAAAAAGTTTTTAAAAATAATTAGTAAAACAATAGTTTTTACAAATTTCACCTTAAAAGAGTGAAGAACAATAACTTGTAGTATTGATATCAGAGTTAAACAATAAAGGGAAACGTCTAAACCAGAATTATACAGGTTTTTAAGCCCCCTCCCAACAGGGGTTGGGAGGGGGCTTAATTTCTTTGTTCTGCTTAGAGGAGTGTAGTATGGTGCTAAATGAGAAAATAAATGGAACTGACTCAAGAGTTTTGTTTGAGGTTGTAGCTTGATTGTTTGGCCAAAGCATTTTGACAAGTTCACAATAAAAAGTACCACCACAATCAACTACATTTACGGTAACGAATAATATAAAAATACATGGAGACATGACCTCACCTTAGTTATGGTTGCTTTGTTAGAAATTCTTTTTAGTGTTGTATGGCTGATTAGAATGGATGGTTTTGTCCCGTCAAGCTTTGAAGGCAACTCATCAATAAATTCCAATGTCTTGTTATAAGCTTTTTCTTCATCCTTAAATGGCTTACTTCTTCTTAAACTTAAGGTGTTAACCTGTAGTAAATAAAAAGGAAACTTTCTTGGCCTAAGAAACCAAAAAAAAGTTCACGCTAAACCCAGTCAGTCTCTGCTGATAAAGGGACCATTTCTGACCATTTTAGCCAAACAAAAGTAATATGCAAAAGTTCTAGCAAGAATGTTTGATCTGAATGGCAACATGACAGTATTTTGTCCAGAGATTTAAAAGTTAGAGTGACAAAATCATATTCTTGCCATAAAGTCTATTATTTGAGGAAATACGATATTTTTGTGTGACCATCTATTTCCACTGAAAGCAATATGCCTCTTGAATGACTACCTGTTGTGAGCAACGACTACCACCTTTCTGGGGTATGATGGTATTCAGTATAATTTTTCATTATTTTTAAAAACTCATAAGCGACAACTCATCACAAGGTTTCTTCAGCTTAATAATAGCAACTTTAAAAATGTGATGCTGCACAGCCCTGATATGAACATAAGTTCATCTGCAAAGTGATATTCATCGGCACCGTTGAACCTCTCCACAACAGCAACCTTGGGGGTTGACAGAAGTAAGTGGCTGTTGTGGCATGGAGAGGTGGCCATTATGAGGAGGTAGGGGTGTTTTTTATTTTATTATTTTTTTTCCCAGGAGTACAATAATGTTTATTGTGCCAAGTTCATGCTTTCTTTAGCCTATAATGGTCATCCAATCATCAATATTGTTTGCTGCGAGGTGGTATCAAGTTGCTTGTCAAATGCTTGTGTGGATGAGCAAAATAAAATATTGCTCTTTAATAACTGGACTCACAGCCTCAGGTATGTTCTAAGTGAGTTCTAAAAAAGGTTCTCACAAAAAAGTGCTCTATTTAAAATCTTAAATGAATTGAAAGACTTGCTGCGATTAATCATCGACCCACCTATACTGATCAAATTTCTTTACTTTTTGTCAGTCACTGAATAAACTGGCTGTTTTTGAGAGGTTATTTTAATTTGGAAGTTAGGGATGTACTTTGGTGTCTGTTGCCATTATAGAGACGTTTAAACAAGAGTCAATGTATGGACTGCCCATCAAAACAAAAAAAGAGACTGAGGTGGCTGTTGTAAAGAGGTGGTCATTAGTGGAGACTTGTTTGTATAAATTTTTACCAGACATCATGATCATCAACATTCAAGAATTATTCATCTCTAAAATGTGGGTCAATTTTAGTGGGACATTGTCCAACGACAGACTATTACTTGCAGCTCTGCGCACAAAATTCATATAGGAGAAGACAGGATCAAGGAAGAAAGTGTGAGACAATGTCTCTAATTTCTTTCTCCTCCCTAATTAACATTATCTCCTCCGTAGAGTTGCCATACTTGTCTACCGCGACCAATTGACGACTGCATGCTAATGATAAAGAGTTGTCTGGAGATGAGTCAGTCTCTGTGGGACAAACTGCTTTTTTTTATTTTTGAAATGGGTTTTCTTACCTTCACAATCTGAAAAGACTTAAGTTCAATGATTTCATTGATGGAACCAAAGTACTGTGAGAATCTGGAGACGAGGTTTTGTGTTATACTGTCCATCCATTCACCACCGATATCGTTGTCACCAGCAACATGTATCTTGGTAACACCATCACGGACATTGAAGATTTTATCATGTCGGGTCTGGGAATCAAAAATATGTGATGGTTAGGGATTTAACAAAGACAAGTTTCATTGAATTATCATTGTCAAGTACCACACCAATTTACTGATGGCAATGCAATGGAATGAACATCAAATTTCTCTAGATAAACACAATTGCCCAAGCCAGGGAGTGACTCCCGCACGAAAGAAAAGAGAAAAATGCTTTGATCTGTTCTCAAACTCTCTCATTTAATTCTTTAAGGAAATGTATGAAGATCAGTAGGGAGAATTGATATGTGGATATTTGGACTTAAGGGTTAATTCACAGAAAGTCAAGTGTTCTTAACTTATTCTTACTGGTAATACCTTATAATGCAGAAATTCATCATCGGTTGCAATGTTTCCTTCATCAAATATGTCACCTAAAAACGGCAAAGTTCTACAAGAATTGGAATTTTATTGACTGGATTACTTATGATACGAAGAAGTGACAGAGTTAGGTCATACCTAAATGAATGACTGCATCGGGGGTAAATACCATCATTAACAACATGAAGGCTTTCTGTAAATACCAATCAGCATCTAGGCGGGTTATGCTTCCCAGAATACCTGATGGTTCATTCCTAAAGCCCTGCAGAATTGCATAGATCAACATAAACTGAACGCAAGTTAAATTAGGGAAGTGGTATTAACTAGTGTACTTGATAACGACCACCTCAATACAGGGTGGGAGGGTTTAATATAAGACACCACCTGTCTAATGGACAAGATAGACACAAATTTTTACCCCAAAAATTTAAGAAAGGCATTGTTGTTATTTCTACTTATAAATATTTGGTGTACCTAAGCATAAAAGTACTATGCGGAGTATTGACTGGAATGCCATTTACAGGCCAATGTAATGACTTACATAAAGTAGCTCATCCCATACTGTTGATGCACTTAAATAGGCCAGTTGCACTAAGAGGTCACGTGACCAATGCTTCCCTTAAACAATGTGTTGGAATCTAGCTGATACCAAAAATTGACAGAGCACATAAAAATTATCTTACTTCCGAAATTTGAGAGAGAATGCATTTAAGGAAGATATTTTATGGCACTTTGATTTTTCAAAAAAGCAGTATGATTTGTATTGGCTGCCATGTTGGAGGGCATACTCTTGCCCTCCAACATGGAGGCCAAAACTACTTTTTGCTTACATCTTGTTAAACGTTTGATAGTTACGCTCAGATGTGCTGTAAACGTTACCACATCATCTTTTCAACATTTCCCTTGAAGTTTAAGTGCAAAATTTGTGTTCTGAAAGATGTAATACCTAATTTTGGTCACGTGACGAGCTACGAACTTACTCATTTTAAGAAAATGGTGCAGGATGAAAAACCAAATCACTATTATTTTGTTTAAGATATGACCCACTAATCGGATGAACTAAGAACTTCTCCGACCCTTAAAAAAATTTGTAACACGCACCAGAAAGATCACCTTTGACGCATGTAACTGCTCTTTATGTAACTGTTAGACTATCGTTAATATTGTACCTTTTAGAATCATTATCTGTAAACAATATCGCATTATGATGTAAATAGTTTAAATTCAGTTCATTTCTTCTTTGTTCGTTTTTAACCTCGACTCATTAGCTACTTAAGCTAGGAGCCTAATAAGCTTCAGACCCTCGAGTATAAATAAAGTTTTCAGTTTTCAGTTTTTTCATCGGTTTTCAAAGGCAAAATCATATAACTTTCATTTTCATAAACACGATGTCACATGACCTCTTAGTGCAAATGGCCTATTAATTGTCGAAAAAGGACCCCAATGAAAAGTGTAAAGTATTGATGTACAAACCTTGCTTTACATTATATCTCATGACCGGCAGTAATTAAGTTGAAAACATATCTAAATGACTGAACCACCCTAAGAACATCAGGAGGAAAGCTTACTATGGTAGGCACTTTTGTGTAAAGGCAATTTAAATGGTTAGATAATAATATTACAGCTTATTGGTACACTGATACAACAGTGACAAAGGGCCAGACCACACCTTTCAGAATAGTATAAGTTAAAAACAAGACATAACAATCAGGGTGCAAAGAAAGTTAGTTTCACAGCCCCAAAGGGACAAGCTGTAGCTAGCATGTACCAGCCTGGAAGTCACGTCGACTAGCTTGAAAAAAAAAAATTGACATGCAGGATTGGTAACAAATTTAATAATAAACGGCTTTATTAATTCTTTGTTTTTACACTAGTAAATACCCAGCAAAAGAAAAATGGAGATGAGCGTACCTAAGGCTATGGCGCATTATACTGTTAGCTTTTCGTGGTACCACAAAAAGCTATCCAGTATAGTATGAACACCTATCCCATATCTGACTCTCCACTTTAAGTCTGGTTCTCACTAGCGCAAGCATAAGGGTAAGGACATACGCACCTGCAGAATGGCATATTTGACTCAATTCTCGATACCAGCTCTCCTCAACCCAATGATAAACAAGATGGCGGACGATATTGCTTTTCATATGTTTGCATGAGGTCGGGGGTCAAAGTGACCTATGATTGGTCCATGGCCTTGTGCTTATGCTTGTGCTTATGTTGATCCCGTTTTCACTGGTCAAAGCTACGACATAAGCACAAGCACAAACACAAGAAGAACAAACTTGTCCATTTTTCTTGTGCTTATGCTTATGCTTATGTCGACCCAGTTTTCACTTGCTTATACACATTATTGTGCTGGGGTGCTTGTGCTTATGCTTATGTTTATGTGCTAGTGAAAACCAGGCTTTAGAGATCGGCGCGGCACGGCTTCGCTTGCCGTAATAGAAATCGCATTGCCACAACCATTTTTGTGTTTAAAGAGAAGCCCTATCCAGTATGATTTTTGTGGCCGCCCATGCCAAAAGCTATCTACTATGGTGTGTCCATAGCCTTAGGGTACCTCCCTTTACACCCCTCCAACAAACGTTCAGTCTCACCTGTATTTGTGAGTCAGAGATAAGAAGAAGATTTAGTGAACTGCTGGATGGTGCAGGGATCCGCCAGCTAAAGAATTTCCATAAGAAACAACCAACTTCTCCTAGTAATATGGTACCGCACAGCAGCAGCACACACAACTTCAGGTTAATCAAATAATATTGTGCAAATAAATACCTTAATCTTCTCCTCAACATAGCCGGCTGTTGACAGCTGGTTAAAAATACTATAGTACTGAAACATACGTACAGAGGTTGGATAATGGACACTTGCCTCAACATGAAAGTTGAACGTGGCAATACAAGTTAGACGCCATTTTGGACGTTGCACATAGCGAGGTCTGGGACCGAGGAACTTTGTTCTTATTTGATCTTATCTTCTTATCGGGGTAGAACGGGGTACAGTCCAACACAGTGTCCTATCATTGTACTTTTCCCATCACAACATGATCACCGTCACCGTCGAAGGGAAGAAAGCTGAAAAGGTGAAATGATCAAAGCACACAATGGCAGCTTGCTTTACAACTCTATGGAGCGTCAACAACCTTGGCAGCCCCTGTCAAGAAATGTGCAACAACAAGTGACCTTATAGCCTGTTCCAAGCGTTCCCTCCCTTTTATTTTTACGCGCTCCTTTTTAGTTCGCACCGCTCCCCACTATCTGAACGCCTGGAACAGGCTAGTGACCTTATCACTTTCCGAGGTTGAAACTGAGTCTCAAAGTGATGCACTAGATCGAGTTGTCGGTTTAAGCTCAAGTAGCTTTAGCGAATCGTCACCGGAGACTAATTGAGGGGGACATTGGGGGGTACCCAATACCGCAATACTGTAAGAAAAAATGGCAAATACCGAAATACCGCGTCGAAAATCGTCTAAATACCGATACCCCATATTTTAATCACATTTATAATCGGTTCCGCATACTTATAGTTGCTTCCATGTAGCGCGTTTAATTATCTCAGGCATTTATGCACCAGATGTCCATGTTTTTTTTAATATTTTGGTAGTTCGCAATTTTCCGCAAATTTTCACTGAAAAGTAAACTACATTCGTTCAGTCTTTTGGTATTTCGACCCAACAGCTAATTAACTCCAATAAAAACAACTCTTGAAAGCGCGAAAAGCAAACCAACCAAAACCCTTTCCACGCACGTCTAGTGCGAGTTTTGATATAAAGTGAGTCTAGTCTGGCACGTCAGTCTCTCGTTCTGGCTTTCTGGCTTCTGATTGGTGCCAGAAAAACACAAGTTTTCTGGCACCAATCAGATGCCCGGCGGCGACCGTTTGGAACTGGTCTGGTAAGATATTGTCCCCAGGGGCTCTTCTCGCCGTTCTTTACTTTTCTTCGTTCCACATATATTTTTCCGCCCGTTTAGACTTTCCCTCGCCCCCTTTATCTGCCCCTGGGTCTCCGAGGATGACGCCGCGCTGTTAAGAGGCAAACTTACCAAATTTTCTCTTTTAACTTTACAAGGCGTTTTTCAATTCTCGAAACCCAACATCTAAACTTATTCTTGTTGCGATAAGGTTCGCCTCCTTCGCCCTCTTCATAAAAAATTGCCACACAGTCAATGGTGACCACGCCGTCTTCAACCTCAGCGACCTCAGACATTGTGAGAAAACGTTTAAAACCTCGAATTACCGGCACAGGTAAACAGATCGACAAGCCTGGTAAGGTAACTTGAGACGACTCAATATCATTGGATGCAACAACAATCACATTGTATATTATCGACCATTAACTGTCACAAAATGACCCACAAATGGTGTAATCGGGCGCTTTCCATTTACGAAAAAACCCGGAAATTTCGGTGGTAGCAAAAGTGGAATTTCCGATCGGTAAAAAGTTGTTCCATTTGGTCGTAAACCCCGGTACGTGGCCGGGTGCCCGATCGTGGACCTGGAACTGGTACAAGCTACAAGAAACGTCAATGGAACACGACATTCCGTTCGGAAATTCCAACCGGGAAAACGGGACCACCTTTTTAGATTTTCCACTTTTTCTGGGAATTTTCCAGTGGGACGAACCGACGAAACGTGTTCCATTTACCGCCGAACCGGAAATTCCGGAAATTTTGACTAAATGGAAAGCGCCCATCATTTACCGTTATGTCTCAAGACTTCTAAATATTAACTTTTATTGACCTTTATGTCTTACTGTGTTTTGTTTTGCGTATTGTATCGAAAGGAAAGCGCAAATAAACGGTACCGTAATACCGTGAACAATCTTATTTCACCGAATACCGTCAGCCAAAATGATGAAAAACCGCATACCGCTGAGCTAGATGATACCGCAATACCGCACGTTGAAATTAAAATTACCGAGATACCGCATGAAAAAAAGCCCAATACCGCAATACCGTAAACCCCCATGTCCCCCTCCTAATTTTATACCAGAACCCCGTGCGGAAACACACCGCCGTCAAAATATGGACAAGAGTGGCCACAGGTTGAGAGAGACGATTATGTTAACTTGGGAGAGGATAGTATCTTAATGGCATTCTTCGAAAATATTGTGGATTGATCTTGACGGGTAGCTTTGCTTGTACGTACAAATTTTAATCTTCCAAAGAATTTGCATGTTAACAAAACAAATAAAAAGAGTCGACTATAAAAGAAGCTTGCCGAAAAACGTGTGACCCTCCCGTGGATGCGAACAAAAGAGGCTTGGCCCTCCCCAATTTGAAAAAATTTACTGGCGATCCTCCCCTGCGAAGCCCCGGCCCACCCACCCAAATTAAAAACGTACCTACTCCAATGGAACTAAAACACAAGACTTACGCTGGGGCTATTGTGATCCCGGTGATCATGTAGACCCTTTTCCAGACGTTCGATTTATTTTACAGTAACAAAAAGATAAATAAATATCGCGCAAGTCCATCCTGGACAACTGGGATCAAACGCTAAGAGAAAACATGGAACGATTATTGATTGTTGGAAGTCAATGGAAGGAACGAGTTTTTTTCAACTCTGAAAGAGTACATCAAAACACACATTTTTTAAAATCATGAATTTATTAAACTAGTGGAAAAAAGAGTACAGTTCATACAATAGTAAAACAAGTTAGCTATATGTAACAGAAAGCAAAACTGAACAACAAAAAACAACACATATTTGAAGTCATTGACCCGAGTTTGGCCGAGAAGTCACAACGCATATTAGAAAAAAAAAAACACAGAAGCCTTCTTTCTAGTATTGTTTGTCCAACACTCTCTGCATTTTCCATCACAGTTCTGTCCACACCCTTTCTCACTCAGCGGGACTCTTTTCAGAGATTGGCCCTATTCTTTTTGTGCTCCACCCATCCGGCCTCGTTTTCGTGTGAGATGCTTTTTGTCATGTATTTGTCATGGAATATCCTTTTCAAGAGACTGGGCTCTGTTTCTTATGCCGAAAGCCGTCCATTTTTATCTGTTGAAGAAAAATGGCGGCCGTCAACGTGTTCAGCACTAGTGTTACTTCAGAAAACCTCAGCCGTCATGATATGTTAGAATGGATCAACAATAGTTTACAGCTTAAATACACTAAAATTGAGCAGCTCTGTTCTGGTTAGTGTTCTCTTGTACATTTAGGCGATCCATTGTACAATACTCCTCTAACGTTCGATCGATTTGAGTAGTCTGATATTTTGCAATCATTGCTGCATCGTTTTTGACACATGAAACAGAAAGATTCTGTTTTCGTTTAACAGGTGCTGCTTATTGCCAGTTCATGGATATGCTTTTTATGGGTAAGTGTTCTCTTGAAAAAATAGGCTTCAGCTTAGGCTTAAATTATTTAGGGTACGATATACCAATTTCATTTCTCCATCTCATTTTCTAAATGCTAAAAAAAACACAAGCTTACAGAAGCAATTTGCTGAATTTTTTCCTTTCAACTTTGGGATAAATTTACAGGCTCAAAAGTCCAAACTTCGCGAATCTAAATTTAAAAAGTCACAAGTTGCGCAAGGGAATGGAGTATACTAGTTGGTCAGAGTTAGTACAAAGCAAAAAAATCTTTGTCAAACATGATTATCCACAATAACAAATCAGTTAAATTCTTGAGCTTCCCCATTAGGATAGACATGACTTTTCCCTTTTTTTTGAAAGATTGTGTTAATATGGGCAAAGTCAAGTTTGCTTCTAATCAAGAGCATGAGTTCATACAAAACTGGAAGATCTTACAGAAAGCATTTAAAGCTGCTGGAGTGGATAAGGTAAGGATCCATTTTCTACATTTTTCACTTTTAAAGAATAATCATTGATGCACCTGCCAGATGCTTCAAAATTTTTTTTGGATCTTCTGTGGGGATTTTGTCCAAGTTAGATTGCAAAAACAGCAAACTCACACTAAATAAAATGCCTAGCAGTTGCATTTGAGAAAGTAAATGTGTGAAATGCCAGCTTGGTGCATTGTTTACATTCTTCAACCTACCTCAACTTGCTGCTGCCACCAAATATGCAGACTCACTATCGAAATAAACTTAAATGTCTCATTTCAAGGTGGCTGCCAACAAAATGCGTGCATGTCAGCAGCAACAAAAAATTATTAATCAGCTTTAAAATGATATGTGACTTCCAAGACCCGTAATCCCTGCTGAAAGACCTTCCACTAGGAAATTTGGGACATCTCATGACTTTTTCCCATTTTAGGTTCAAAATTGGCAAGTCTAGGGATATTAGACCAAATGCATTTTTAAACCAGTTCAAGGAGGGGTCACATAAAGTTACCATCTGCTAAAACCTGTAAAAGAGGGGATGTAGACTTATTCTGTTTGGGGTCAAAAGTGATCCACCCCTCCTAGGCGCTCTAAATAATGACCAAGCAAAGAATCAATAATATTTATAATGTCTTTGCAAACCAACTTAGTAGAGTGGAACCTTGATTTTACAAACCCATTACATAACAAAGTCCTCTCTATAACAAAACTGATATTCTTCACTCTAGTAATATTAAAATACAGGGAAAAGAACCTTGATATAATGAAACCTCATTATAGCAAACATATTGCCTGTCCCTTGGTTCTTCCCGATATTGAGCTTCCACCTTAGTAAGCCATTTTCAAGGTTTTTATTAAGAATTCTAGGAGCGGGAGGAAGGTGTAAGGTTACAGGAGCATATTATGAAAGAGGCTCCATGTCTGAATAAAAAACGGTCATCGGCTACCGAATATTAGCAGGAGAATTCTCCCATCTCTGGGGCCTAATGAAAACCCTGCATTATAAAAGCTCAGTTGTACCATAAGGCACCATAATAAATAAATGAGTAATGTTTCCTCCACAGTGAGTTAAAATTGGACAGCATATACACTTAACTTTGGCTTTTCCTTTCCTTTTTAATGTTTTAGATGGTTCCAGTTGAAAAGTTAGTCAAAGGGAAATTTCAGGATAACTTTGAATTTGTGCAGTGGTTCAAAAAGTTCTTTGATGCCAACTATCAAGGTCCTGATCCTGACTATGATCCTGTAAAAGCACGGCATGGGAAAACTGATACCCCCATGAATGTGGCACCAAGAAAAGGATCTGGACAGCTCAGCAGACCAGCCATGGGTAAGCTTTAACACTGGGACACTTGGTGTCAGATCATCATCATCATCATCATCATCATCATTACTGGATGAAACAATTAGTTGTATATAAGGCAGCTTCTCAGCTGATGTGGACCTCCTACCGCAATACATCGGTGGAGAAAGACTTACAAGGACCAGCAGTTTTCAAAGAATTTTAGTGTGCCCTTGCAGTGAAGGATGCAGTGTTTTTAATAAGTACTTATGGCAGAAGAAGAGTATGAGCTTTTCCTTTCAGAGAAGTTGGCTACTTTTTTACCCTTTCATGAAGTTATCAAAGAAAGATTCTTTCCAACCTTGTTTATACAGTGGGATACTCTACTCTATATCTACTTCAGATTTCATTAAAACCCCTGATTACAGTTATATTAATAAATCATGGACGTTCTTTCCAAGCTATAGAAAGTGCAACACTTTACTTTCTTTGCTCTTTTTCTATACAGGACAAAATCCTACTCCGTCAAGAGTGGCTACATCCACAAGACCTGCTGCAGGTGGGGCCGGAAAGATTGGTGGTGGAGCACAAAGGTCTCAAGGGATAAGTCGACCAGGGCAGCAACCAGCACGCTCTACTGGAGGGGCCGCGGGAGCGTCAGCTGCACTGATGCAAAAGGATACTCAAATACAAGAATTAAACAATAAGGTTTGTTGAGTTGCTTTTTAATAAAGTAACTCGAGTCTTCACTTGTTCATCATGCAACCCCATTGTGGTTGTTGCCATATTTGGCACCCTATAAAAACATGTTTTTTTATGTCTCATGTCCATGCTTAGATGCAACTAATGGTATCGCAACAAGAGTGACTTAAGAGCTAATTCCACCCTTTGTTTTTCTTTTTCTGCAGCTGACAGAACTGCAGTTGACAGTGGAAGGATTAGAAAGAGAGAGAGATTTCTACTTTGGTAAATTACGGGATATTGAAGTGCAGTGCCAAGAGGAAGGATGTGCAGACTTGCCTGTCGTTAAAAAGATTATGGATGCTCTTTATGCTACTGAGGTGGGTCAACTGAAGCAGTGTTACAATAAAGTCCTAGCTGACTTTCCTGTAAACTGCTAAGTTTCTTCTCTTGATTTTTTTTGATATTAATACTTCTATAATAATATTATGTACCTGGAACTTCATTATGGGTCTAATATGAGGTAGGCAGTGACTGGTCTTCATTTAATGCAGTTGGAAGTGGAGGTATCTGACATAGGTGGCAGTATCCACTGATTATTATGTGTTGTTTTTTGAGCCCAAAAAAATTTTTTGGAAGTGGAGGTATCTGACATTAGTTGGCGATATCCACTGATCATTATGTGTTGTTTTTTGAGCCAAAAAAAAATAGCACTCATGAAACCCAAATATGGTCACTGATTTGAATGTGTTTAGCTCATAGGTACTAGAATAAATAATTACCAGTAAATAAATCAACAGATGTCTCTTCAGGCAGAAGGAGGGTTAAGAGATTTTTTAGTCATGGTTCGACTCCTTGTCTTTTTATCCACCTCTGCTAGTGTTATTTACATATTTTACTGAAACAGTGCTCTTAGGATAAAAAGACGGCCAATATTGTTTTAGCAAAAAAATGTCAAAGCAGCATTTTGCAGTTACTGAAGGATGGTCATGGTGCCATTTCTTGTCGCTTTTTCTTAGAAGACTGCAATAAATATTGTTAGAACACTTAAACATGCCAGCTATTATGGTTCATTTCAAAATAATATTTCTCTGTTTCTATTTTTCTGGCTTATTTTTCATGGTATTTCATACCGAATTGGACGACTGTGAAGTTCTGTTACCAATTTGTCATAACTGTAACAAAGTGTGCGATATTTTAAGCTTTGTTAAAAATTACAACACAAAATACTCTGAGAGCTTTTTTGCGAGAAGTGAAAAAAGAAAACCCATTCAAGTGTACACGAGTGATGATGTGTACTGGCCAGTTACTTAGGCGTGACATGTACTGTCCTAATTCTGTCCTATTAATGTGGAAATCAGGGAAGCTCATAGCCAATCAGATTTGAGAATTTTGTATAGGAGAAATAGGATTTTGATCACCATAAGGCTGTGTTTTTTTTTACCGTAGGAGGGATTTGCTGCACCAGAGGAAGTTGGTAATAATGGAGAATATGAACAAGACTATGGTGATGAACAGGATGAATATTAAAAAGAAGTCAAAGATTTGTTTGGCTACCTGTGCTTGTATCAAGAATGAAGGCCTTCTCCAAGCAATGCACCTGACAGCTTGAACTAACTGGTTTTTAAATAAGAGTACAATATTATTAAAAAAATTTTGCGAAACATGTAGAAAGCAATCTTGGTTTGTCATTTGTGCTGATCTCTGCCTTAGTTTCTTTATATATTTTTGTATTATAAAAAGGAGGTTTCACAGAAAAGCTGCAAGGAAGATTGTTTTCAATAATGTTGTCTTAAAGCTGTGTTTAGGTAGTAGTGGTAGGTCATACTGGAAAGTTTTGCTTTGTCAGTCAGACATTTTGTAATAGTCCTACCTGTCATTATCTTTGAGCACCGTAAGAAAGTTACAGTTAAGCTTGTGCCAAGTTTAAACCAAAAAAAACTGAAGCCTATTTTTAGCTTGAGGTTATTTTGTAGGAATAATGATGCAAGTCTAGGCTTGAGAGGCTGTAGCCATGCAAAAAAATGCTCAGATAGTGCACCGTGCAGCTCATGAAAAGAGGCAAAAGCAAAAGCAGTTGATGTACCAGTAATTAACTCTTTTGTGCCAACTTCGTATTACAATTGTGGTATTGTGATAAGTATGTTTAAACAACTGTGATGAACTTGACAGTTTTTGCCCTAAGTAACTAAAAATAAACTAATCTTTAATCAACTGTGTACTGAATGTTCTTTTACAGTGGCCTATTTCATGGTGTGGTGTTGTCCAGCTCGTGTGATCAGCACTGTCCCCCTCGGGTACTCACCAATGAAAGCTTTATATGGGGAGTCTCCACCATTTTTGACCAAAGAGGTACCCCTTTCGTATACCTTCTACTGACAAATGGTACCCCTTTCATATACTTTGTTTAGAACACTGCATCCCTTTTAACTGTTTTGAATGCTCTGTCTTTTCAATTTGAATAAATCATTAAACCAGAAAGTTTTTTGTCTCTTTCACATCCATAAAATTTGTCTGGTAGCCCTTTTTGCTCCTTTTACAGACCAAAATGAAAGATCTTCCTACCCTTTCTTAAACTTCAACTAGTGAGACCCGTACCTTTTCATATACCTGAAGCCTGAAAGTGGTACCCCTTTTGGACGGAGCCAGCCCTTATGAGCCATTATAGGGAGTCACCCCCCCACCCCACCCCCTAAAGGGGCACCATCATTCAAAAATATTTGAAGGAACTGTGTGTTACGGAAGTTAAGTCCATTTTGTTTAGTTTTCCTAATAACAAATTGCTCACTATGAAGGTTAATGTTAGTAAAGAAATAACTTCTAAACAACAAAATTACATCTTACTGATAAGTCTGTTGGGCCTTATACATCTGATTCTGGATATTAACCCATTCGCCCCTGAACCGCCCGTAACCGCCCGTGCAGATCCAGGTCCTTTCTACCCTTTGTGACGTCATCAGTTTTAACGGTCAAGGACAACTTTCTTCGCTAACTTGTGCAGAGTGAAGAGATCTTTCAAACCATACCAGAATGAGCACAATTCAGTCAAGGACACCGGAGAAAGAAGCAAAAAACCACGTGACAAGGACCTGAAAATCTCCATGAAAATCTTGTTCCATTACCCACCTACCTTTCCTTTCACCTAATCCTAAGATCCTAAAAGCTTTCCTAAAAACTCTTCCCACCAAAATGAAGCCTACTAAATGCCCAGCAAGAGAAAAAAAAAATGAGGCAAGAAAAGCGCAAAAAGAAGGGAGGAGAGAAAGCGAAAAGTAAAAGTCAAGACTGCTGTGTCGAAATTTTGCTTTCTGCACATGCCCGAACTTCGCAAGCTGATATTTTGCATCTGGATCAGAAGGCCGCCAAGTGTACAACCTGTAAACCGGTTTGTGGTAAGTTTTAGCTCTTTATAGCACGACAGTGACCAGAAAACCACTCGACTAGCTTCAAAACGCGTTTTTGGGCAAAATCTGTGCGGTAAAAAAAAAACATTTTAATTCTAAAGAAGAGATTGCCACAACAAAACCAAACACTTGACGAGTTTGGAAACGATAGCGGCTTTTAGGCGGATTAGCCAAAAAGAAGCAACGGATGATAAAAGCTTTGCTCCAACCCTTATCCACCCTGCTATGTTCTCTCTGCAGAATCCGCTTGAAGAGCACTTGAAAGCCGCGCATTGATAGTTAAAAAGAGTAATATGGTCTCCTTTGAATTTCCCTGGGCTGGGGGCATTTGATCATCTAAAATGAACCTATGATGGGGCATTTGTAAACGGCCTTTGGGGTATAGGCAATGGGGAATTTTGAACGTTAATTTTTCAAAAATTCAAAAGAAACCGTGCTGAAAACTGCCAATAGCCACCAAGCATTAGGCAAATCAATCTGGGACGGATCCAGGAATTTTAGATAAGGGGGTTCCAAGCTTTTTGAAAATTTGCAGCTGTTTTCGGGCTCATGTTAAATAACGTATTATATCAAGGATCTTGGAACTGGGGACGGTGGATGTGCAGACTGGGGAAAGGAGAAAATGGCTGGTTAAAAAGTGAATGTTAGGGTACAACGCATGCGAAGAATTAATTAGCCGGTTCTGTTCAGGCTTTTAGTCATTCGAAACAAGCGCAAAGGAAACTTCGGAAACCAACAAAAAAAAAGAAACAAAAACAAAATGCAGGGTGAAGGGTGAAAAGGAGATGTCATTGCGCCTTTTTGTACACTCGTTTTTCTTGTAACGTTGAGAACATCTCAGTGCATGTGTCAGTGAGAAATTTCACCAGTATCGCTATCACTTCGCAGCTGATCTCGCCGGAATTATTAAAGCCGCACAATCAGCAGGTTACATAAGCATCATTTGTCTGGCGAAATGGAAGCATGCTTACTTTTAATACTGTGGTCTTTTCCATGCGCACAACCTATCAAAACGGGCTTTTCAAAAGTTTACCGAAGCTTTTAAAAAAGGTAATTGCCTACATGAACATCTCCATTCTTGGCGGGGACAGGGAATTTTTCGTGTAAACGCGAAAAAACTCGACAAAGTTTTCAGACAAGAAAAACTTGTAAGGCCGTGAAAACTTGCTGAAGGCAAAACTTGTCACGATTTCCATATTTCAGGAGGAAAACTTTCACGGCTTGTTATGTTAATTTGCATGTGTAAATCCCGTCCGTAGTCAGGATTTTCAAAACCACTCACTATCAGTAAAAGACTCAAGGGCGAATGCATTGATACAACAGCGACACTGACTATAAGCTTACCTGACAGACTCTCTTCGTTCCGTTCTGACTTTCTTTTCCCCGAAAACAAGTTTTCGCTGTCAACGTGCCATTTGTTGAACTAATTAGGTAAATCAAAAACAAGCATTGCACGTGCGCGCACGCATTCTACGTCCTGCATTGAACCCTTTTCTTAATTAAAATTCACAATTTGTTGGAAGTTACCATAACGCCCTTCAAGTGGGGTCAAGATCAGACAAGCCCTTCACTTGGAAGTGGTACAGTACTGTTATTTCTGAGTCACAGTCCCAGACTATTATGATTATAACAGCAAAGATCGGGCTTAGACAAAATACTGAGCCCTCAAAAAATTCACTTAAGGTGGCTCGATAGGGTTTTTCAGGCAAACAAGAGCGCCTTGATACATACTAATCAAGTCCTCTTTTCTAGCAATAGATTGGAGGTATCTCCATGATCTTTCACACACTGTTTTAAAAAGATTGAAACTACTATAAGCTGAAATTATTTTAAAAGCGCCTCGTTTTCTACAGATAACGGCCGAACATCAAGACTGTTGCATCAGAGGCCTCTGCCGGCCTCCGATGCGTTTCATCACGCATGTACTGGCGTTTCCTTAAAACCCAATAACATTTTAGTCATGTGCGACACAACTTACAGAACCGGTTTGCATGATAACTGTGGGCTCAAAAATTTCCAGCGTGCAGTCTCAACAGGGCACGAGCATTCCACATTAAACAAAACCGGTTTTGAAAACCAGTATGTTTTGGATGAAAAAAGTTTTGGATGAAAGAACGCGTCGGAGGCTGGCGGAGGTTATCTTGCCGTGAGAGACCTTTGCTAGCAGGGAACAACCTTCAACAATCACACAATCAGTATCGTCAGCAAAACTCACTTTTTATTTTGTGCTATAATCTAATTAATTTGAAAAAGGACTAAATTAATTTGGTTATAATATCATCAGTGACAACACTGTTAGAGAGACTGTCTTCACTCTTGACTCAATATTTTTAAATTGCAGAACATTTTCTTTCAAAAATAGCATCACTTTTAAACTTTCACCACAGGACCACCAGGCGATAAATTGTTGATGTTAGCTACCTGCGGTGTTGAATCCCTGTGGGTTCTGTACCTGCCATCTCCAGGAGTCCTCACCTGAGGAATCAACATTGTTAACACCACATTAAAAAGTACATGCTTAGCCCAATAAATACGGTTAAATTTAGCATCCCATCCAATCCATCCTCTTGTATTCCCTGACACATTCCCCACGTTGGTCTGGGGTACTACCCTGGGGCAAGCTGATGACATGTTCATTGCATTGGGTTGTTATCTTTGATGGTGGGCCGGGTCTCAATTATTTTATGGCTTTTAAGGGACTTTTTTGTAAAAACTAAGTACTTAATTATAATGTAACCTTCCTTTTCAATTCTACTTGGCAATCAAGTTCTTCCTCTGCAACTTACTGGTATAGGTACAGTCGGTAAATTTTGTTCAAAAATTAAAGAACAGCCCTACACCCTTAATCTGTTGGTTGACAGCTGTTGGAACATTTGACCATACAAAACAATGTGAACAGACTTTCAGAAGACAAAGCAGAATGAAAGAGCAAGCAATGTTCCCTCCCTTAGCATAGCTTGTTCTAGGTGTTCAGATCATGGGGATAGCGCAAAAAGATGTGAGCAGAAAAAACAACAGCGAGGGGGTGGGGTAGGGGTGAGAGCAAGTTCCCTCCTCTCTCCCTCTCCCTCTTTTCCACCTTATTTTTTTCTCGCTCTCTTCATTCACGCCGCACTCCACTATCCGAACACCTGGAACAGGCTACCCTTAGCAGATCTCTGAGAACTTACACATTTCATCAAGCCCACGTTCAGCTTTCCATCCCAATTCTTTTTCAGCCAAAGAAGCATTAGAGAACATTGATGCCACGTCACCTTCACGGCGTGGACAAATCTTGTACTCAACCTGTGATAAATGAAGAATAGTTTAATAGTTTAGTCAGGATTGCCGCATTTCATATATACCAGATACAACTATGTGTGATATGTGATTGTTTAACACAAGAGGCACATAATCAGATTAAAGAGCACACCAATGTGATCAGAAAAATATTGAACACGATATAGCCAATATAAAACTTCAGAATTTACTAGAAAATGTATGGATTACAGATACAGACTTATAAAATTATTTCTATTTATTTCTTAGAACAAGAAGTATTAATAACTAATTTTGGAGTTTGGCCATATCTTGTTCAATTTTGGCTTGGTAAACATTGAGGATTTGGTACAGCTTCATGAACTCTATCTGATTATGTAGGGCTTGCAATGAATGATCCCATAATACATGGATTGGTGCCCAGTACCCTCATATGAAATTTCTTTGGCCTAGAACAAAAAAAGAGCACTGATGATCACACTAACGTGGCCAAAATTCAACTAGCCTGTACACAGACGTTCTTTTATTTTTCTTTTTGAAAACATTGGTGAGAACGAGCATGAAGCACAGGAACGAGCGCGGAGCATGAGAAAGAAAAATAAAGAACCTCTATTTTCTTCTTCCCCACCCCTACCCCCTTGCACTGAAGGTCAATAAATCCCCCGCAGTTTTTATTTTTTATGACGCGCACTCAATGGACTTTGAGGGGACAATAGAAGATCTGTGAACAGGCTAACATTCAACCCCAACGATCAAAAACACACTTAACTTAATTGTGGACATAAAATCATTCTCAGTTCTTGAATTTTCTAGAAAACGTCACCAGTGTTATAAAAATAAACGTTTTATTGGCCTTTCTCTCAGGGATAACAATCTTGATTAACTCAGGTTTTAGAGCCAGAAGTGGATGAGTCTGATATCCCCTCATTACAGGCTGTTAACCAGGGCTTTCCAGAAAATTTGAAGTAGACAGAGAAAAACCTTAAGTAGGCAACAACGGATTTAAAGCCCACAAGAGACATCTTTGACATGGCAGAACTGTGTGTAGGGGTAGGTATGGGAAGGAGGTTACCCCTTTTTATTGGGGAAATCCTGGGGCCTTCCAAGGGACAATTTTTATTTTGGGGTTCCTGACAAGTGCATTTCAGCGCATTTTCAGTGACTAGGGAAAGAAATTTTCGCCATGAGGATGACACCTTTATTTACACACATTTTTATCACCTGAACAAAAGAGTTGGGAACCAAAACAATATGAAATACAACCGATTTATTGCCCCACTTAAAACATTATTTTCTGTGAGTAGCCAGCACCTCTGTGTCAACTGGATGGCAATTTTAGCCAGTCACCAGAGCTTTTGGAGAACCATGTGTACCTTTACTTACAGTTTTTCCTGATGCTTTCTCAACAGCTTTCACCATTTCAAGAACAGAATATCCTCTTCCAGTACCAAGATTGTAGACCTGCAGGCACAACAAAATAATACTTCACACTATAATAATTATTGGACTATTTAATTACTCAGACAATTGAGTACCTCAATCAGTTTCTTGGACATACTTTTGTCACGTTCACAGGAGACACTTGGGGATTTTGTTTCCAATTCACTTCTTCTTTAAAAATCCAAGATAGTCTTACCTTACATCCACAATTTTCTTCTAATTTTTTCAGGGCAGAAACATGACCAACAGCTAAATCTACCACATGGATGTAATCCCGCACACCTTGGGAAAAAATTAAAAATGAACACTTAAAACTCAAAGCAAAGAGCTGAATAAAAAATAAGGAAAAATGCATTGTATTGAACATTTTCTGAGAGTTAAGGTCAATAAACAAAATATATATGATATCACTATTACACAAGTGGTATTATTGCCCTACCTGTGCCATCAGTAGTTTCATAATCATTTCCAAACACATTTAGATGAGGTCTTCTGCCCACTGCAACTTGTAGCAAATAAGGCATTAAGTTGTTTGGAATACCCTGGAACATACAAGTACAAAAATCAATTATTATTATTGCTGGTATACATTGTAAAACTGGTAATCTCTAGACTGTGAGAACTCTCTCTAGAATGCTATCAAGCAAGCACTCAAGTAACTATGTATCAAGTAACTACTGTGTACTATGATAAAACAAAGATATCATACTATTGTACATTCATGGCTCTTTTCATGGCACAAGTTGCTCCACTCATAACAATAACAATCCCCTGAAGCTCTGGTGCATTACGCTTCATTAACTATCTGCTTCACTGTAAATCTTTATTAAAAAAAGTACCACTATGTGTCTTTCATTGATGTCCCCTTTACATACATTATTGATTGGCCAATCAATTAATTTTTGGTATGTTTTTCCTTACATGTCACTAACCTGAGGGTCTTCACCTATTCTGCCTGATTTGTGAGCTCCAACAGGATTGAAATACCTCAACAGCACAGCATTCATATTCTGTTTGTCAACAAAATAACAATATTTATTAAATCAAAAAGACATTAAAAATATATTTGGGTAACATTTTATCAAATTGAATAACTGAATGCACTTTTTTACCAACAAAGAGCACCTTTGTTCAGTGCTTTCAGTAAGTGTTTGGTCTGTACATGCCCATGCCTAGTACTGTTCTACACTGTTCATGTGATTTGGTGGTCTTGTGGAGTTTTCTACATGCAGTGTTTTGTGCCACAAGGGTTCTTTCACCCAGTTTCTTCCACTCCAAATTACTGTAATCCCCTTCCAATTTTTTTTTCTCCATTGATATTTTGCAGAGATATAGGTGCCTGTTTTCCCTTTTCTGCAATGATTGAGTCGTATAAACCCTGATTTTATTGAAGTGACTAAGGGACGGACCATTAGAAAACTTATGGGGGGGCGGGCAAAGTACAAAAAAAATATTCGTGCAAGGGAAAATTAAAATGAAAAAAAATTCATGCACGCCAATTAATCCTAAAAAAATATTCATGCTATTGCCTTAAAAAAATTCGTACAAGGAATTTGATAACGAAAAAAATTCCTGTGGCTCGAAAATTCCCCTCCCCCCCATAACTTTTCTAATGGTCCGTCCCTAAAGAGTTTTGAATCAGTCTCCAGCCACGTTTCGTTAACCATAATTTTAATTAAACCATAAATTAGTCATAAATAACCTATTTTTAATACCTTTTCAGCTTTGCATAAATCTTTGATGATTTCCTCAATGAAGAATTTTGATCTGCCATATGGGTTTGTTATGCCAATACCCACAGGGTGGTCTTCACTGATGGGTAGGTTCTGTGGTGTCCCATAAACGGTTGCTGATGATGAAAACACAAACTTCCAAACACCACATTCCTTCATACACTGAAAGGCAGAAAAAACAGGAGTGCATAATTACATCATCATTTATGAACAAGCAGATACTATTATAATAAACTTTTAGTTCTCTGGAAATCACTTTTAAAGACCTACATTTGTATTCCATTAATAATGGTTGCTCTTATACATAATGAAGCTTAATGAACCATTGTAACAGTTGAACCTCCCATAAGGGACACCCAAAATTCAAAGCCTTGGTAGTTACTAAACTGAGGAGATGGTTGCTTACAAGAATCAAACCACAAGGGATCCTTTACAAGTAGAGGTCTTGACATGATTACTCTTTGAAAGAGAATTTACTGCAAGCAGTTTCTAAGTTATATGGGTAGTTCCGTTTTGTCACTAAAAAGTTCTTTGCATATTCTGAGTAGCTTTGTATGTAAAGTGAATATAGAGACCAGACCCAGGCCCAGTTGTTTGAAGCTGGGTTAAGAAAATCCAAAGTTAGTACAAAATTTGAATTCAGATACGAAAGCTTTAAAAAAGCAAATTCAGTTTACCTTTTTTTGTTGACAATTTGATATAATTGGATGCTCTAATTAAAACAAGAATAAGGAAAATCATCCGAGAAAATGATTTTGAACAAAGGAAAAAGAAAACCGTATTAAAGTTAAATTTAATCCTGGCTTAACACTAATTGGCCTTTGAACAACTGGGCCCAAGTGCCAATCCCCGTTGCTTACAAAAGGTACAAGAAAAAAATAGTTGGGGTCACTTATAAGAGATGGCCATTTATGAGAGGTTCTAACTATAGGCCTTTGATTTGAATGGAAAATTTTTGCTGCCTATGGGAGGTGGTCCTTTATGAGAGGAGGTCACACATGGAGGTTTGTGTAAAATATTTTGCAGACCTGAAAACTAATAAACTATACAATTCTGGAGATTTTGGGAGAAAAAAGCCTACCAAAAACCACTAGAAATTGGGGCCTCAGATGTGAAGATTTCCAAAATATGTGTCAAATATGGATTACCAGCCACTGTTCAGGAAATCGCTCTCAGAAATCGAGCCTAAGTTCATTCCTACCTAAGATTTTCTGACTACTCGCCATAACATTTGGAGGTTAAATTGTGAGACTGTGAATTGATAGCCCAAACCGTGAGTCTCATGCTCAGACCATATCATGAGAGTTGGTAGGTCTGAGTTTTTGGTACAGTGTTAAATGAAACACTTTTTCTTTACAGATACTTCTGTAATACAGACATTGGTCCTGTGCCTTTTACTCTGCTATTGAGACCAAATTCTTCTAAATAGAGTTCCAAATTTAAGGCACAAATGGCAGATGTGTAACCATAACCTATACTCAGTTGGCACCTGCAGGGCTTAAAAGAGCTCGATCCTTTCTGAATTTTCATTTATCATCCATGGAGGCCATTAATTTCTCCCAGTAATGCTCTTACCTCTAACAGATTGACAGAACCTGTGATATTGTTGTGGTAATACCGGAGTGGAATCTCTACAGACTCTCCAACTGCTTTTAAAGCAGCCAGATGAATTACTGCATAAAATTCATGCTGGAAAGGCAAAAAAGAAAACAAAACAAAGGTTAAAATTTGCTGTGGTCAAAAATCTCTTCACAAGTTCATTGACATTCTGATTGGGAAGACAACCCATGGCATATATATCGACTATCACAAAACAACAAAACAAGACTAGTACTCTGCAACCCAAACATATTTCTGGCTGCAGATGCTTATCTCCAGGGGGCAGCAATAGATCGATATAATCTACATTCATAGGAAATGAAATAACAAAACAATCCAAATCATTACAAAATCAGTGTGTACTCATTTCAAAGTCAAACGAAGTTCACTCGTATAAAACATGTACTTTTCAGCACAGTTGATTTACTTTCATTCATTCATTTATTTTATTTTGCTGTTAGGCCATCCCAATAAAATGTTTTGTTTCCCATTGCTCCATCTCTTGTGATGGTGGGTCGGTCTGTTGCCCAAAAAAAAAAATGAACACTTGAAGGTTCCTGGGTTCCAGACAAGGCCGGGAACCATGCCATGTGAGTTAAGGGTACTGAATGAAAAATGGAATATTTTTAAAAGTAAAGAAAAGAAAAGAAGAAAAAAAAAGAGAAAAGGTATTTTGCTCAACAAAGAGTACATTTGACTAAGAAAGAAGGAATTTTTAATTCTTTTGCCAAACAAAGTGTTATACTTATCAGTGCCATAGCATGGGGAGGGGCTGGGGGGCCTGCCCCCCCCCCCCATTAATTTTGACAGGCACATCTAATTTGGTCAGCAGCCAGGCTCTTCCAGCTGCTTTTCGGTTCAATTTTTGGGTCGAACTTAATGCTGTCAAAAGGCTGAAAATGCTATTTCAGAGACCCTATATTTCAAAATCTTCCGGGGGAGCATGCCCCTAGACCCCCTAGCAACTTACGCTTTTGGTGCTCATGATTGGCCTCCCCCCAATAAATCTAACCTTGCTATGGCACTGCTTATATAACATTGTGCCAGTGGTGGTGGTTGTTTCTTCAAGACTGCAACTTACCTTTTTGAAAACTTCCTTTAAAGCTTCTCTATTTAACAAATCAATAGAATAATGAGGAATCTTTCTGCCAGTGATTTCCTCCACTCTCTTCACACTCTCTGTAAAAATCAATAAATTTATTATGATTCAGAATACCCTCTTATTTTAGCTCTTGGCACTGTGATATATTGGGTCCCCTGTGCAAGATGAGATGTGCCTTCTGGCATGCATCCTTAAGAGATACTCTAGCTAAATTTCACTGACCTGAGAAAGCATTGACAAAGTTGTCCACTATAACAACATCATATCCTGCAATTATGAGTTCCACAACGGTGTGAGTTCCAATATAACCAGCTCCTCCTGTCACCAAAATGCATTTGCTGGTCATCTTTCAGATAATGTGTGTGACTTCACCCTGTTATTCACATTCAAAATGTTACAATAATAGAGTTCTAAAGTGCAACGTAAAAAACATTAAATTTGTGAAATTAAGGGATTTGTCAGGATATTCTGAAAAAACAACATCCAAGAGGCCTACTTGCCAAAAACTAGTATTTCGGGGCAAATTATGTCTGAAATATTAGCCCAGTTATGCTCCGATGAGTCCTGGAGTCATAAGAGCATAACTGGGCTAATATATCAGAGATAATTTGCCTTGAAGTGCTAGTTTTTGGCAAGTAGGCCTCTTGGATGTTGTTCATTCAGAACATCCTGACAAATCCCATAACTTCACAAATTTATTTTTTTATGGCGTCACACTTTAGAACTCTATATTGAAACCTTACTTTAAGAAGTTTTCACTCATCTTTGGAGACCACTGAAAGTTGTCAGAAAATCATTAGCAAATAAAAATGAAGCATCTTTGGCTGTGTCTAGAAGGCATTAAGGAACATTTGGGGACACCCAGATTATAAGAAAACAAGAATCTGACATATTGGACATACATGTTACAGGTCTAAATTAAATTCAGGTTATAAAAATTTTTAAACCAGGCCGTTACTTCTCAATTTCCTTTGTCTCCTAGCCCTGAGTATTCATGTATTAGGGATGGGAGACAAAAGAAGCTGAGAATCAACCTTGGTTAAAAAATTTTAACCTGAATATAATTTCGACCTCTGATACATCTATCAATGGTGGGAGGGGGGTGGAAAGACAGGGCATATGATTGTCTTTGTTGGCCCTGGGGTAGGGCATTTGAATCTTTAATTTCTTTCCCCAACATGCACTTTGGCCCTGTGAAAAAGGTGTGAAAAGCATGTGAGAAAACATGTGAAACTGAACAGTTCACATGTTTTTTCACAGTTTAATTCACAGGTTTTCATAGCATTTTCACATGTTTTTATCCGATAGTGCTGGGACCAATATTTTAACGTGCAGATTTTTTTATGTCCCCTTCAAGTTCATTGGCGAAGGGAGGATGAAGGAGACTAGAATTCCGGCTTGTTTTGCGTGCTATACTTCTTTGATATTGTGGCTATTCTAAATTTCTTGGGTTTGTATATAAACTTACTAACTGGCTCTACAGTATCAAAATTATAACAATTATATAATACCGTAACCAAATTGATTTAAATACAAGCAGAAGAACTTAAATCAGAAAATCTGCTGCTTTAACTCTACAATGGGTTTACATGATCTTGATATAAATGGTATGATCTTGCCCACGTAACCAGCTGACTATACGTGGCACTTGTGATCGTATCGATCAGAAGATTGATTCTTGCATTTAGTTTATAACAAAAACTGCACTTTATACTTCACCATTTTAATTTTTTTACTAGACAAAGAACGGTATAACTTACCTAGTTTCTAGTGTTGTTGTGCAGATTTTTTGGGTGCTTCACTAAGATGAACGTCGGTCACTGACTGTACGCACGACTCACACTGTCCACTCGACGATCTAATGATAAGAATTTTCATCTAACTGGGGCATTCACGAGCTTACCTCCCGCACTAGCAGCCAGGCCTTCCAAGCATCAGATTCGTGACCTGAGTGTGACTTGTCACTTTCTATATGCATCGCCAGAAAAATAAAGAAATTTAAGTTTGGTCCTTAAATATACAGTAGTTTTTCACAACTGTACATTGTAAACCGGTCTGGTATAAAGCTAGCCTGTAAACAGACGTTGTTTTATTTTTCTTTTCGTTCTTTTCAAAAACATCGGCGAGCGAAGCGAGCGCGCGAGAACGAGCGAGGAGCTAGTGATTTTCTTCTATTTTCTTCTTCCTCCACCACTACCCTCTTGCGCTGGCGGTCAATAAATCTCCTGCGGTTTGTATTTTATCACCCGCGCTTGACTGACTTTGAAGAGAAAATGGAGCGTCTATGAGCAGACTAGTATAACGCGTAGACTGTGGACCACGGACTTCGGACTGAGTGTATCTTATGTACACAGTCCGTATGTCCAACACACAAACATTCCTGTTTCAGGTCTCTATTCTCCCCAACGTTAGCCGGATGGGGGTTGGGGGGGGTAGTCGACCAATATTTGGGTATAGGTGAGCCGTTGAGGGCTTGAAACCCTGACCCTGTTTAGGACAAAAAATTCCTAAAATACATACTCTGTTTAGCACGACATCCTCCATATTAGGGATGGACCATTAGAAAAGTTATGGGGAGGGTGGGGAATTTTTGAGCCGCAGGAATTTTTTTTCGTTATCAAATTCCTTGTATGAATTTTTTTTAGGCCGTAGCATGAATATTTTTTAGGGTTAATTGGCTTGCATGAATTTTTTTTCATTTAATTTTGCCTTGCGCGAATTTTTTTTTTGGACTTCGCCCGCCCCCCCACATAAGTTTTCTAATGGTTCATCCCTTAGTACCCTGTTTAGGACAACTCCCTCAATTATATCAATAGAACAGACTCACACAAATCATACACACTGTTTAGGACAGACTTGCACGAAATTGTACACCCTGTTTAGGACAGACTCTTGAGAAATTATATACCCTGTTTAGGACAGAGAGGACGAAAACCATCCCCTTCCAGCGGCACATCCCCGCATAGGCCAAGGGAATACCTCCCCGTCGGGGGGAGGGGGGGCTGAAAATGAAACTCTGAATTTCACAAAAAGGAGGAGTTGAAAGAGAATTCTACTTATAGTTACCAATAGCTAGAGGATGTGAAGTTGAGAAGCACCGAATAAAGAAATAATAGTATTAATTGGTTCTTAAAGATGCCACAATTTCAACGCCTTGGGGAAATGAGGAAATGAAGAACCCAGACGAGAAGGTCAATATAGGGGCATTCCGCAATGCAAAAAGCTGTATTTAGCGGGGAGGGGGTTACTCACCAATACGTGAATACATTCTAACCGATGATGACATGATTTCCATCACGTAAACGAGGAAAACAAAATTCTGGAACTCAGGGTATCGTGTGCCTTTCATAATTATCAGCTGAGTGCAAGTGAAAAGTTGTTGTCTGGCCCAAGCCCTTGTAAGAATGAATTAAAACATTTTGGGTTGCATGGTCAAAATGTAAATGTTTTAGACTTAAATTAAGAAAGTAAGACTAGATTGGTCAACAAAATGGGAGAAATAGTTTAATAATTTACAAAATAATTTAGCCTAATGGTGGTGACAGAAAAGATTTGAACCCCTTGAATTAGTTTTGGTAGCAGCTATACCTTTCATTCGGATTTGGGGAGGACAAAGGAAGTAAATTTCTTCATCTTATTTGACTGCTCGAGTCTTTTAGCCCTGTTAGAACTTCCTTATTCAACCTGGTTCCGACGGTCTGAGCATACCCGAGGTGAAGACAATACGAAGGGTAACTGGTTGTTTTGCCTACGGGTCGGGAACTCGTTGGGACCACGGAAAAGGTCACTGCAACACGTAATAGAGGTGACCGCTTTACACAAGTCAGTTTCAAAGAAATTAAAGGAAATAATTTTCTGAAAGTGACCGCTTAACAGAGGGTGACCAATTGGTGGCCGTACCCTTAATGCCAGTGTCACTGTATTTGGATACCATTCAAGGGGTTCATCTTGAATCACAGGATCCGAACTGGCTAGGGCATAGGTGTCCCAACCAAGGGTAGCCTCCCCACAGATGTCTTTTGGAGTTCGTTCATCACGTATTGAATGCGTCACAAACGAACCCCAAAGGACGTCTGCAGGGAGGCTAAACCAAGGGTATCGAGAAGAAAAATAACCAACTCATTCAAAGGTTCGCCTATTTGGCTATTAGTGTTTATTTCCAGTGCAACACATTTCCTTGAAGTATCTTAACATCTTTCACAAAACTCAAGATGTCCTGCCGAGAAGAAGGCCCATGTTCACCTTACGCTTCAAGGAATTAAATTGGTTTTGCAAAGTGGGTACAGTGGAAGCTCTCCTAACCAACACTCTTGTAAGTGGACAGCTCTACATACAGCCACCATCACAAAACCAAATCTCTCACCTCACATCGTTACTCTGCATTTTTACATTCCTGTAAGTGGCCAGCTACTGTTAGACACCTTTTTTGTGTCCAGAGGGAGTCCAGTCACTTAAGAATTTCCACTGTAGTCGCAGCTCACCTGAGTACTTCAAGCACTTAACATGATGCCCTGATATTGAACTAAAAAATCTCCTGGTGATCGACCAGAATTAGCAGCAAATTCAGTTCCGAAATATTGATCAATTGCAAACAAAACAGCTATTAGGTGAACGTGGGCCTAAAAACGGCTTTATCATAAATAAAAAGTAGTGAATTGCAAGTACTAAACAAACACAACAAAGCCACTAAAAACCTACTAAGCTTTGTTACCTTTGCATTATTATGCAAACGAATAAGTGGTTAAATCTGTTAAATATTTATCTACAAAATAAACAACTATATTCAATGTAAATTCAATGCAGGGAACACCAATAAAATTGTCATTTTGTAAGTCCTTTTAAAGACAGATGAATCTAAGCTAATTACAATACATTTATTAAAACAAGACATTTCAAATTGTTTATAAATCAGAAACCAGCAACACTGATTTGTGATTTAACGTGCTTCTACATTTCATTTCACTAAAAGTTCTGCATTTCCTGGAGAGCCGAGTGTGGCTTCGTGTTGAAGTTCTCAATGGGTTAAAAAACAACAACTACTAAGAGTAATGTTTCAGAGAGAAGTTTCTACAGTTCACATTTCACAGGATAATAGAACAGATAAGTGTTTTATGAAAAGAGAACCAAGTTGACAAGATTTAGAGCAACATTTTGGAAGGTAATTAAAACTAGGAGACACCTATGTACTTGTTAAGCATGCAGCTTCAGCATGCTTTGATCTGTGAAACGTAATCTATTAAAAAAAACCCCATCACATTATATCGAGTCGACAGAAAGCAGTATGTTGATTAATTCAGAGATTATGTCAGAGGTAGTCTGCAAATCTACTGTCTGATGCTCTCTTACACTCAAAGTGACTGTTTGTCACAGCAACCTTAACATGACCCATTCCCAAAGCAGTCTTATATAATAGATGCAACTTACAGAGGTTGGAAGCATGGATTTGAATGTAAGGCAGGTGAGCCTCACAATTATTACAAACCAATCCAAAATAATATGGCTATAAGGTTTAAATAAGAATGTGCCTTTTCTGTTCAGGTTCACAGAATTGCAGCTGGTGATGATGACCTAACAAAAATAATGAAGCAAGGTGCAAAGAAAAACATTTTTACAGCTTGCCATTCGGGCAAGCTGAAGCTAGCATTTACTAGCCCAGACGTCACTTCAACTAGCCCCAAAAACGTTTTGTTCTTTTGCTATTCAAACTCCTCATAAAACATCACTTGCCCGTCGGGCAAGTTAAAAACAGAATTCACTAGCCCGATAGCAAAATCCACTAGCCCCGGGCTATCGGACACTACTTTCTTTGCACGCTGTGAAGGCTACCAGTATACTTATAACAAATGAGCCAGGGCAGAAATTTGTCTGGTAAAAGACCAAAAAAATAGAAAAGATTGTGTCAAAAACAGCACCTCATGTATGAACAAAAGGCTTGTCTTGTCAAGTTGTAAAAACAAAGCAAAATATTCTGACCAGAATAGTGTGAATGTTAATTGTGCCATTATTTTTTTATGTAGCCATACAACAAATATGTTTTGCATTTTTCCTACACAAGCATTTGTCTTCTGGGCAAACATCTTTCTCACATAGCCTTACATTGAAATTCAACAGCAACCAATCAAATCCTTACTTAATTAACAACCATCATTTTGACAATAAAATGATAGCTGAAATCCGATCCTATGTAAGATGGCAATAAATTAATTTTTTTTTATTGGTGCCCTTGGATTTCCCATGGTCAGAAAACAATAAATTTGAAAATTTGCCTAGTAGGGAAACTGATAAATCAAGAACCTGATGAACTAGTAACTGGGGATTTCTTCGGAAGTGAATTCAGCAGAAGTTGAACAAAGCGGATCACGCTTTTGAGACGTTCCAAAATGGAGGTCATACTCAAAATGATCAGTTTGGGTTTGTCCATGAGGGGAAGAGCTGCCAGCGCCCACCAAATCCACTCAGGCCCATCGTTAAGCAAATGAAGGTTCTCATCAAAAGCTGGAAAATGCCCAACAGCATTGGCAATACACTGACGCTGTCCTACATTCATCTGAGTAAACCAGGCCTGTAGTTTTAGATAACCCACTCTGTTTAGTTCAATAAGATGTTTAAGTTCATCAACATCATCTACACGTTCATCTTGCACCCATTCCACTGTCGCAGTGTGATAACCATCGACCATACCCCTTGAAATAACATGAAATCGCCGTCCTCCTATCGACTGCACAATAGAACGGCCATCGGGTAGAAAATCCACTGACTGTACACAAAGCATGGTGCCATAATCTGCAAAACCCTTCTCAGGATCTTCACTTGCTACACACATACCAAACTGCCGGGAACCCGACTCAAGGCAACGTCGTAGCATCAGTCGATACCTTGGCTCAAAAATATGTAGTGGACACTGGACTTTCGGAAATGCTAAAGTGCATACAAATATGGGCACTTCTGGATTCTGTTCATTGGCCAAACTGTTGAATATAAAAGAGAAGATTTCCTTACAATGAAACATAGTTGGTACTCTAATGTTGATCTACTACAGTCTGTTTGTTACAGGCACTTGATATTATGCTCCAATTGATAGTAGAAGTCATACAATCTCTACCTATACTTATACATACTGACACAGACACTTTGCTCTGTTCCTTAAGTGCCCATACTGTTCAGATTCATATGTTATAGATTTCATACAAATGTTACAAAAAAATTTTTAAGACTGTTTTCACCAGCAATGGCGTCATAATAAAAAGTGCAGATTTAGTGAAAGCAGAAGCAAAAGCAGAAAAAAAAAGCAGAGGCAAAAGAACTCATAATATTGGGCATTAATCCTACCAGTACTACTTCCAACTCCAACAAACTGGTGATCATTCGATCATGAGTAACAGAATCGTTAGTAGAGCTGAAACTGGACACATCTGATTCTAAATACTATTATTTCACGAAATTTATCCTAAGAACCCTTACCACTCTTACTTCTTAGCTATTTGAAACCAGCTTTTACAGCTCTCTCCATGATCAACAAGAAATCATTGACAGATAAATAGTGTGGATTAAATTTGTGTTTACCCCTGATTTCGAATGTGATCATATTTCATGCATAGGTGTCATAGCATGATCAATACAAAATGTATAGCGTACCAGCTTTTGTTGCTGTCATTGTTTTAAAATAAAACAGACAATCCCCTTCCCTGTAGCCTACACCAGTCTACAAGTTGCCACCAAAATCCTTGTCCAGAACAAGGATCTCAGTCTCGGTGATGCTCCACAGACGTTACTAACCAGGGTTAGAAAACATCTGTGACTCAACAGGCTAGTTCCCTGGGGCCTCAATTAAGACTGACTTTCTCAGCATACAAAATAATTAAAGGCAAGCTCAAGGCAAGTTCTTGGTTGTGCATAATTTATATATAAATAATTACGTTAATGATAAAAACAACAGTGATGATAAATGATAGTAATATTATAACAGTAACCATAATCATAATAATTCCTTGGGTAGTAAGTTTATAATTTTGTGGGAACGCACACTCCGTATCACTCCCAAGAGGAGAGCTAAAAGAAGTGTGATCTTTGGTAATTAAAATACCTTTCTATCGGTTTCATACCTGCAGTTTTGGAGCAACAACGTAACAAGTAAACAAACCCACCTCAAACCTGGCCCAGTTCTTTTTATAATGGCCATTTAAAGAGTTCAAAAAATTCTTAAAGCAATAAATTTTGACCGCAGAAGCACATTGGACAATACACAAAAATTGAGGTAAGAAAACATTTTGTTTTGCACCCTACTTTGTATCCTACTTTGCAGACAAGTTGTTTGTTGAGATTATTTTCGTGCAGTTTTACACCATCAATGGCCCAGTTATTTTCCTGACGATACCTTTGAATTTGTGTTGAATACGGTTCAATCAGCTTTCTACAGTACTTGCCACCAAAAGTTCCATAGAAAAGACATAAAATATTTTTAACTGTTAAAATAGATGTCTTCATGTAGCATAGAGGTAAAGGAATGACCCTGGAGACAGGATGTCCTGGGTTCAATTCTTGGAAAATCTTGTTTTTGTATTTCCTTTTCTCTTATATTTGCAAGCGACAAAAAGAAGCCTGCCACCTATTCTTGGTCAGCGGCATTCTTATCACTGTCTAGCGAGATTTTTCTCATTTTGTCCACGTTCCTATGTTGTACCAACTAATATCCATGGTATGTGGCCTTGAAGGCCCTGGTGTTGGTTTCACGGTAATCACATGAATGCACATGCAAGTGATGCAACAATTGATTTGCAAGCACAAGTAACTCAAATACACAAGTACTGTACTAAATGCGAGACTTAAGCTTGCTGGCCTGGAATCTATTTACCCAGGAAAATGAAAGTAGAGCCTGACCTCAGCTTAGTGCGGGACAAGTTTTCGGCAAGACACGAGTGCTAGCAAAGTCTAAAAATCGATGTAAATTAAGTTTATTCAGGTTTCACTACAGTGCATGGTTTTTATATCTTTGTACATTTCCAAGCATCCTACGACACTTGTTGTCTGAAAGCTTCAATAAGCTTTAACCTCCAGAGGTAATTTAAGCTGTTTTATTATTTTGTATTGCAAATCAATGGGCTTTACTCATTGAACATGGATTGAATATTTGATTGAATAATAAGACTTCGTGAATGACTGTTTACACGCACAATACTCGTGTCATGCATTATCGTTTCAATGTATCTTTGCCGGCAAATTCAGATGTTACTCCTCGCTCCTCAATAACAATAATAATAATAATACTAAAATAGACTCTTATTAAGCGCATTTCTATCCTCAATGCGCTTTACACTATGAAAGCCGATTGAAAATCATTACATTTCTAAATTTCTAACAGGCTAATTATATCAAAGCAACTGCGAATAAAGTCGTTTAATTTAATATGAATCTTGTTTTCTGTGTTGTTCAGTCCATTTTTCACGTTCTGGAACGATTCCTTTTGTTGACACTATAACTAAAGGGCATTCACCTATATATGACAGCGGTTTCACCCACACTTCCTAGCCAACAGCTACTGCTAGTTGTTGTTATTACTATTTTGTGGTCTGCTTTTTCTTTCACACATTTTCTTTTTGCTATTCAATTGGCCTCTTTCTCTTTCTTCCTCCTTTAGTGCCCACTAGCCTCTGCTGAGCGGTGCGAGATTCTGCGATTCATGTATTTCTAGCAGTGATGTAATAAAATAGCATTCAGGAACAGTTTTGGCCGGAAATCAAACAAAATTTATTGCTCTTCAATGACTGAGTATCGCCTAATTTGTTAACTAATGTCATCTGTTAAAAATCAAAGGGAAATTCTTTTGCTCTGTTGTTTGCGTCAATGCACTATCAATTTAATGAGTTTCCTTGCTACGTTTTATCATGACCCATTAAACTAAACGACTCCTAGGACAGAACCTTAATAACTCGAACTCGGATAACTTGAATTCTCGCTTACTTACACTAAATTTCCTTTCCCTTGATCAAAATTCCGCTGAAATTTACCCCGATAACTCGAATTTCCCGCTAACTCGAACTGTTTTTCGTTTCCCTTTAGAGTTCGAGTTACCGGAGTTCTACTGTAAATTATCATTGACTCTACACAAAAAAAAACACACGTCTATTACATAACTAGATTATATAATTGCATTCTACGGTCAAATAAAGCTACCTTACCCTTCAAAAGCGTTCAACTTTGCTTGATAAGTTTTCTTTCTTTCGTTATATTCACCAGGGAAGAACTTCACTAAAATCGACTCCAAATCTTGGGTAACCTCCATCTTTCGTTTTCCTGTGTGGTACTGATTCAGGGTGGTTCGACAGCAAGGACATTCCTGCCGGTGGTCTAGACATCTTTCAAGGCATTCCCGGCAAAACGTGTGCCCACAAATTGTAGTTATGGGTTGGAAAAGCAAACTGAAGCAGAGTTTACATTCAAAATCTTCAGTTTCTCTCAAATGTAAAATCTCCTTCTTGATCGTATTTTCCTTGCTCGCCTGTAAGTCTTCCTCGTAGTTCGGAGAGACTCCGACAATGGCTTTTGTTTTCGTTCGTTTACTGGCACTTGCTTCGGTAGCGGGACTTTTCATAAAATTGCTAAGATCATCGACATCCATGTCAACAGCAGCACTGCGTTGAGCAACACTGAAATACCCATCACGGTCTTGACCTTGCTTTAAAACTGACAACGTCCTATTCACATTGGTGAATTTAGGGCTTAAAAGTTGGTACAAGCTTTCCATGAACTCTTGGCGGAAACGTTCACATTTTGGCGCTAGAGAACAGCAGCGAAGTAAGGCTAAAACACTCTGTTCGTGTTTTGTTGACAGGATACCTTCTACTCTGGCAAACCTGCTCAGTATAACTGACTTTCTATAGAAAGTTCCCGCTGAACTGGGGTGAAGTTTACACGCTTTTTCAATATCACGTAAAGCTAACTCTAGTTGATTTGACCGTAGAAAAGCATCCGATCGCCAGATAAGGCAGTGAAGGTCTTCAGAAGACAAAGCAAGAGCTCTGTTAAAACAATCAATAGCTGCTGGCATGTCCTGTCCAACAAGGAAGTTAAGTCCTTCTTGTTTAATTTCTTGCCGTTGGCATTCTAGAGGGAGCCATTTTTGAATAGCGTTCGTGATGAGCAAATTGATCGAATGAACTGAATCTTCTTGAATACCGTTACCACATTTTGAACACTCGGCAAGGCCAGTTAAAGACTTTACTTCCAAAACACACACTTGGCAGAATGTATGTCCACAAGGGAGGGTGACTGGTTTCATAAAGACACAGCCGCATGAAGAACAAGTGAATGCACTGCACGTTTGATCATCACCAGTCGTTGGTCCATCTTTCCTCTCTCTTACCAACTTGCTCCGTTGAAAATCTAGAAGGGCCTCCACTAACGATGTGATACGTTCTTTCGGAACAAAACCGACCCGAAAAGCATTGGAATATGCTTTAAATGACTGATCTAGCCGGCCAGCCCGTGCAAACAAATCACCTTGTTCCAACAGAGACTTCAGAATTTTCCAGTTCTGTCCAAAACCCCACTCCGGCGCTAAAAGATTTTCCATTCTTATTTTCCATCTAAAAATTTCCACAAAAACAGAAATAAACTATTAGCTGTAAAGAACCGAGAGTGACCGCATCGCGTAATATCATCTGTTGAATGAGGGACGTTAACACGTGTTGCGTGAATCTACTTCAGGACTCACGTTCAAGATTTCGCGACACGAGTGTTCCCACGTGTCAAAAATGTACAACGCGTGAGGGTCTATTTCCGGTTAACGTGATAACGTCTGCCATAAAGTTAGAACGTCAAGTTCTCTGACTGAAAATGAGAAAAGACGACAAATGCAACATCACTTTCAAAATATACTTCATAGTTTACAAGACAAAATTTACCCACAAAATTTAATTTTTACTGGAGCTTTTTTTTTGTTATATAACTCTTTCTGTTTGGTTTAATGTTATGTAATCAAATCACATGGTAGCGCACATGTGATCCCTGATATTCGTTATACAACGATCCAGGGAACGATCCAGGATAAAAATTCTAATGGATCCGTTCTAAGCGATTGTCTGGAATTTAAACCGTTGTGATTTTCCAAGGCGAGCATTTGTCAACGCCTGGGTGTGAGCCATATATTATTTCACATTTTCTACTGGCCACGGTTGTTAAAAAGTTGGATAGCGCTATCCACCGGATAAATCGCTATCCAATGGATAAGAACTAATTGCGTTATCAACTGTATAATTAGGCTAGGCTGGCAACGTCAGTTGACGACGGGAAAGCGCGCGGAAATGACTAAACACGACTTCCGGTGCCTAATTTGTCCCTCTGCGACCCTCTGGCCCAACCCTCTGCCGTTAGTCAAGCTAGTTGTTTGCGCGCGCCGTTGTCAACTGACGTTCCCGTTCTTCCCGTTCTGTGTTGAGGAGTAGCCTGCGAAGCGCAGACGTATTTCCGGTCGTCGCTTCTCTCTTTTTCGGAGGGAGAGATGGAGAGAAGCGACGACCGGATATACGGCTGCGCTTCGCAGGCTAATTGAGGGGTCCCTGTGGATAGCGCTATCCTCCTTTTGAACAACTGGGGCCTGCTCTATACATGTATATTATGGCACTATTTATAGCATGTAAATAAAAGATATTCACAAAAGAAAGATAATTGAGTCAAGCCCATTCACAGACCTTCTATTTTCTCTTTTGAAATCTTCGTAACAAAATAGACGGCAAAAGCGAAGATCACCATTGTCGCGCGGTTAATTAAACCCATACTTCAGGAGCCTTATACTAGGTACGAGGTTAGAGAGAACGGGCGGAACTCGAGTAGAAAATAAGGAAAAGACCCAGGACTACCAACCCCCCACGTCTTCAAATACACTCAGGGGGTTGACTGCGATTAAATTGTCACGAATATGCGATGACACTACGGCTAGCCTGTGTACAGACGCCCCCTTCTCCAATTTTTTCTGAAAGGAGGGGACGACTGTAGACAGGCCAAGGTTCGCTTCATACAGGTTTGACTGTATCTACACACACGAAAATTCCAGGACCCAGAACTCGAACATTTTATGGCTGATGGAGTGCTTTGTGGCACGTAATACGAATATATACTTCCCGGCGAAAAAATGTAGTAGTAGCATCTTTTCTTGACTGTGCGTAAGAGTAAAACGATGGGCGCGACATACGCGCTCGCCAGGAGCCCGATAGGAGCGCGCGGAACGCGCAGCCTTCATCAAGGCTACGTCTGCACGAATCGGTATATTTTTGAAACCGCATATTTTTTTACACGTTTCGGCCCTCCGTCCACACGAAACCAGTGAATCCAGACACCGAAGCCGCATTGTTTTGAAACCGCTCTCCAGAGAGGTTTAAGGCCTCGTCCACACGAATCCGGATAAAAAATATGCGGGTTTAAAAATGTCGGGATTTGTGTGGACATCACCTTAGTCCAATCAGCAGTAGTCCAACGTAAGAAATCTAGAGCAGTGGGAAAAAAATTCCTAAAATTTTCAGTATTGCAAATCTCGGTGAACGGTGGTGTTCTTGTCTTATTTTACAAAACAGCGACGAACTGTAACGGGGAGTAAGAAATTTCGATAAGTAGCAGACCAAAACACGATCCCTAATGCTGTAAATAATAAACAACAAAACTCATTTCCAAGGCTTCTCTCTTTCCAGTGAGCCGGGTTGTACGATGTCTTTCTCCTCACGTATTTTTCCTCTCTTTCCACTTGAAAAAATCAGGATCTTCAGGCTAAGAATTCTAATTAACTCAAACTTAGTACATAAGTTAAGATTTTATTGCCTTCATAATGGAATTCTTTACATATACAAAGCAAATGTCACAGTTCTTAGAACTAAAGTAAAGTAGCCTGAAAATAAAAAAAAAGATCGCGGATCCATACAAAGACAAAATAAGTTGTGAGGTATGTTTAGGGGGCGGGAAGCACGCTAAATCACTGATCCATCTTAGCTTCATCTTCTCTCTCAGCTTCTGCGGGGTTTTCTTCTGTTCGAGGTGTCTTTTCTTTCGCTTCTTCCTCTGGGGGCTTAGGTGAATTACTGTTAGCTGGAAAACAAAATCAAATTGTTTCAGGTGCAGTTTTCTATGGCCGAACATGCTCAACCTACATACAATTTGCCTTTGCTTGGATATCGGGAGAGCCGCCGAAGATTGCGCGCCAGCAAGCAGCGAAAGATTGGCGCGTCGGCGCGTTAGCCTTTCAAATGAAGTGCTTGCTTCCAGGCTAAACTTCATCTTTATAACACAAAACGCGGGCCATGAAACTCCGATATAAACAAGTGCCGTGGGCCGACTGGAAAAAAGTCGTTTGTTTAGCCTGGCGGGAAGCTATCTCGGCTATCTTTGGGCCCCATTCGGATCCCAAACAAGCGAATACGACAAAGAGAGAGCTGAATTTACAAACAACTTTTTTGAGCGTTGAAGACAGATGAGCCAGCCTTGCCGGACTTTTGGAAACTCTAAGGGAGCTTACCAAGAGTCAGAATTGGCCGGTCATATTGAGAATGATTCTGAATGAAATAAGCTCTTTTCTAGAGTTTTCGCTAAAAACCCAATTCTGCTGTGCAGCCGATCTGATGACTACTTCTAAGAAAATACACAAGCAAACACAAAAGCAAAAATTCACCTGAGCTTGCAGTAGCCGGCTTCTCTGTGTTCGAGGAAGTATCACTAAATAAAAAAGAAAGTAAAAACAGGCAGTTACTTATTTATTTTACCCGGCTTTACCCTGGTTGAGTTAAATACAGATTTCCGGAACAACTCCTCCTCGTTGCGCAGAAAATGAGTTCACCTCTCCCTTTTTTTGACAAAGTTAACTCGGCTTAGCACAATTTCAAACTAGATCTACTATCCGAAGAAAAGTTTGAAAAAGGAAAACTACCATTTTAAAAACGAACAGGAATAACTACTACGATAAAGAAGAGGACACTTTGTCAAAGTTTCTTGTTGTTTATGCTGGTAACATATTCTTTTCGTATACATGTACATCTTATTTCACAAACCTTGCCAAAATTTAATTAATTTTCTGTTTGGACTAGTTTATTGCCTCAAGACGCAGTAATGAAATAAGACTAGAAATAAAGGGTAATCTATTGTAATTCCAATACTCACTCGTTGGTTGCGGGGGTCTCAGATTCTTGAACATCCATTGGTTCTTCTTTTTCTCCTTTACTTGGTACTGATTCTTCGGCAGCTTCGGGGCTAAATACAGAGAACAAGCAAATAAAGTGTTTCTTCGACTTACGAAAGTTCCAAGAATTAAAAATCAAAGAAAGATGTGACAATTCCTTTTGTAAAATTCCGGACAGGACGGACGAACGATAACATCGCGACCAACACCTTCCAGTCAGGTTTTGTCCATTTTTTCAAAAGTTGAAAAAAAAAATTAAAATTAGTAAAATTGCCAAATTTGATAAGGTCGAAAAGGTCTATTTGTATGACGACTATGAAACGTCTGGATGATGTTATTTTTTTCAACAAATCACTTTCAAACTTAATTTTGGATTAATTTTTTCCCAAACTTGTCGATTCTTGAAAAAAAAACCGCGAAAAGGTCATGTGACGAGGATATTTGGATCGATTCTACCCTGAAGTCAGTACTTAGTGGCTTTACCCAAACACAAAATGCTCCGGTAGAGGTACAATTATAAGGAAGCTATCAGACAAATTTCATCAGGAAGTACTAACCATAATAATTTACTTGGTGACTTTTGAAGGCATAACATTAAAACTTGACAAGTTCCTTGCCATCAGTTGCAACAGACGACACGAAACAGTTTCAATTCCTTTACATAGTCTTAAATAACAAAACTGGACCATTATTTTTGGAATTAAATCGATGCGAAAAAAGTTGCAAGCTTTTTGAATACCTGTCGATAGCAAAAAGCGTGACGTAGTCCCTAAAAGTCACTTTGACTCTGAAAATGACCACCGCAAGGCGGGTATGTTACCTTTTTCTGCTAGCCTCCTGTTCAGGTGTAGGTTCTGTTGTCATCTCTGTAGTAGCGTTAGCTACAGTCTGTGGTGAACCCTCGTTTGGGGTCCCCTCAGTTGAGCTCTTGGCTTTTTCTTTCTCCTCCACGGGGGAGGTGCTGGGGTTAGATTCTTTCACCATTTTTGGTGGTTTTGTTTCGTCAGTATTTTCAACACCATTTGTCACCATTTTTTCGACTGGTGTTGCTGTTGTTTTCCGTTTTTTTCGCCTGCTTTCTTTGGGCACGTGGTTATCTCTTCTGTTGTCTCCTTCATCTTCTGAGTCAGAGTATTCCTCAGGATTTGAGATGTGTTTGTCTGAATCACGAACTGCAAAGGAAAAATATGGAAACAAAGGGGTGGTTAATTGGACTATTTTTATGAATGGAAGAATCCTGCCATTCTAGGGGCGGGTTTCTTCATTTCTCTGTTATTTTAAGGACGTCACAACAACCTGCAACCTTCTGGGAGAAGTGAAAAGGCTACTGGGTATCTTTGCCTAGTGGTCACCATTTATTTTGAAAGGCAAAGAAACCGGAATTGATTATCTTAGGCTAGTAGCCACCATTTATTTTGAAAGGCAAAGAAAGGAGATTGCAAGATAATGGATACCAACATCTCTCTAATATGTTCCCAGAGGTGTTTCTTTCCCAGATACTCATTACAAGAGGGAACAGGAGGGGGCACTTATTTATGAGACAGATCACTGAAAGTTCTTTGAAATGGGGCCTACATTTTCTTTTTGTTGTCTTTTGTCTGAGAATTGAACCTGAGCCCACTGCTCCATAGTCTTTCACCCAACCAATTTAGCTAACCAACTGTTGATTATTGTCAATATGTGTTGTACTCACTGCCAATCCTTTTGTCAGGTTCCATGTATTCATCTTCATTATCACTTTCTTCCAAAGCAGGTGCATCATCAGGAATAGCTAACAAAATGACACAGTGTAACAAGGAGTCATCAAACATTTAAGAAGGCTAAAAATGGCCTAAATATACGAATTAATTATCAAGAATGTACCCCGTGCAGATTACAGCTGTAGTTTCAAATTGACTAAAATGACACGATCTGCAAGGGTGTAATTGATGGTTAGTGGATGAAACTTAAGATGCTAGAGTAGTTTTGGAGTTCACCATTCAAAATAAGTTATGACATTTGAGGTACTTCTCATCTGTATTTGTCTTTTTTATATCTCACTATTGAAATTAGGTGTAAATACATTTGAAGTGTAGACCAGTCTAAAATGCTCAGTATTGAGCAAACGACCTAACTGGTAAACAAGTAAATAAAAGTGTGTTTAGTGTACACATGGCATTGTTTACTTACGGTGCATCTGAACTCCTGGTGCATGTGGCAACATACGGAGATTCTCAAACAATCTTTGCCTAAGATAATAGTAATAAAACCCGATTAAAATACAATGTCAATGTCTCAATAACTAAACAACACAAGATAGTCTGAAATATCATGTCTCTTTGCCCTATCCCCAAATGTGCTACCCAATGGGGGATGGGGCAAAGACATGGATGACATTTCAGACTACAAAACAATAAAGTCTTGGGAGTGAAAAACTCAAAGGATTCATCTTTCACATTCAATTACCAATCTAAAAATTTACCACCTTCCTTTATTATTGTACTCAAAGTCTTTTTTATTAAGGAGACAAAAATATTACCAATTAACCAGGTATTAATACGAAGAGTCAATTTAGGAATAAAAGTATTGTTAGCTCTTACTTGATTTTTTCCAGATAGTCATTTGTGTTTTGGTTGGCCATGTTAGATGGACTAATGTGCAGCTTGAAGTCTGGGCCAAAATACTCAAAATAGTCATTGTATGGAAGTTCTAAAGAAAAGATTAGAGAAAATAAGCAAATCAAGAACATTATAGCAGTAAACATCTGATAATTACAGTACCTGCATCACAGGATTTTGTCCATAGAATAAGAGGTTAGAACTAATTTACATATTAAATTTCTGTCTTCACCATGACAAAAAAGGGAAAAGATTTACTTTTTTTATCTTATTGCAATGGTAAGTGTAACAAACAAACAAACAAACAAAAAAGAATTTGCAGGTGCATTAAGAAATATCTAGAAGCAGATTTAAATAACAATCTGTCATGAATTCAAACTGACAATCTGTTTTATACTCATATTCCTCTTGTCAAGTGCCTTATCGTTTTTTCACCAAGTCTTGTTATAAGGTAAACTTTGGGACTTAATAAGCAGTGCAAAATCCCTATAAATAAACAACATCCATCTTATTTGTGTTACCATACCATTTGCAATATCTGAGTCCAGCGCAACTGCTGTTTCAAATGTCCAGCATCTGGCAACATTTCTGATTGTGTACCCACCACCTCCAAGAACAAGCAGTGGAAGATTGAACTTCTTGACAAAGTTAACGCACTGCGCATGACCTAGGATGAATAAATAATTTAGATTTAACATGGTCATAAGGTGCACCAGTTGAATAAAAGATTAAGTAGAGTTGCCCCTTAAGACTGTTCATACCATGCACTCAGGCCATATCAATATCATTGTAGTTTGTTACTACATTTTCATGGGGAAATCATGAACACCACCTCAAAAGAAGTGAACTTTTTCTTAAAGAATAATAGTAAACCTGTTTGAGCCACAGTACGATAAACTCCAAATAGACTTCATTTAATAACCAACCTTGCTTCAAGATGAGCTAACTTCGTCATTTAGTATAACTACACAGTAATTTCCCATGTTGTAAGTAACCCAACAGTCTCATAATGTCAAAAAATAATTAATTTCACAACTTACATGAATAACTACTATCTTCCGCACCCTTAAATCCCGTTCTTTCTTTTCATCTTAACTGATATTTATTTGTAGTTTTAATGTTACAAATGATGCTTGCTTGCTCTTCAATATTGACTTCCAGGAAGGGAAGGCCCAAGCAACCCCAAAAACTAATAACAATTAGGGGTGGGAAGTGGGGAGGGGAGGGGGCAACAGTGGCAGAGAGGAGAGCAACATTTTAAAGAGAACTGTCTGGTGATAAGACTTTGACATAGTTTTCGTGAAGAGTTATTGTTAATTGAATTTCCTGTCAAACTACATTCCAGAAATGTTTCTGGAGTTCACAGTTTCCTGAGTTTCACATTAAATATAATAAAATAATAAACTGTTTCTATGAATATGTAGTTTGTACCTTTAAGAGACAGGTTGAAACATCCTAGTCTGTCTCCTGCAAGAGAGTCAGCTCCACACTGGAGAACAACAGCATTTGGTTTGTATACTTCCATTACCTTGGAAATAACCTGAGAGAGAAAATGATAATATTTGTGGTTCAATGAAAAGAACAAAATCTCAGAAGCATCAAGTGCAGATATTATTAATAAAAATATAACATTGGCCTTAGCTAACAAAATTTGTCCCTGAACTGAAGGCTCAAAGTGGTTGATAGTAGAAATTATTGATACATTTCATAATAACAAGGTAATATACATCAGCACAAGCTAGTTATACACAAGTACATGTATCTACCATCTTCACAGACAGTAAATTATTGAAAGAATAACCATAGCCATAGCAGTGCTGACCTGAAACAGCATGGCAAGGGAGCAATTAAAAGGCAAACACAAATTCCTCAAATGGAGGAACCGAGGTAAATGCACAGAGACCAGTATCCACTAACAATCCGCTAACTAGGTTACAAAGTATACCAAACCCTTTGATAGACAACACCAACTGAAGGAAGGTGAATTAAAACTTGAAGGTATTCAACTTTACACATAGCTAACCACTGCATCATTGCAAAAAAAAAGCCATTTAAATAATATTATTATTAACATCTAGGGGAAAATTATCTTTCAATGTCACAAAAACATTTTAACTGATTCTTACAGGATTAAAGATTTGCTCATAAGAGTCATCATCAATTCCATCTCTCAGGGGAAAGTTCACAGCATAATATTTGCCTTTTCCAGCACCAATATCCTGTGAATAATGAAGTAGAATGTTATAATAATCCTGCAATTTCTCACAGATATCATATGTATTTTCAAAAGTAACGAAGCAGAATTGGTGATCTCAGTAGAATTTACAACAGCCTTTGTTTGCATGTGTTAACTCATAACATGTGGCTATTTATCCTTTCACCAATGTCTTTAAACGCATGGAAGGATTGAAAAGATTATTATTCACTTAATTATGAGTAGACTACAATGTCACTAAAAAACCAAAATGTGAGAGGCACATGGCAAAAACACTTTAAAACAACAAACAACAAAGTAGTTCATGTAATCACCTACATCAAAGGCATTCTTTTACAAATTATTGGTAAATTGATTGATGTGTAGTGCATAAAGTCCTTATTCAGCTAAGAGAAGACTAGTAAAAAACGTAAAAAAAAACTGCAAAATTTTGAATTGAAGTCCCTAGCTTCAGACACACTCACCCTAAGATCACCTGTACCAGGGAAATATTCCCCATATTTATGGAATGAAACTGTCATGACACGGTCAGTGGTGTAAAATGCCTCCTCAACTCCATCACCATGGTGAATGTCAATATCAATGTACAAAACTCGTTGATGGTACCTAACAAAAGAAATAAAAAGCTTTGTCATGAAATATATGATTGGAATACACAAATAATATTACAACTCAGTATTAACATGCAATACAACAAGTACCTTATCTTGGAACTCTGATCTGACAGCAAGGTTAATTAAACCACTAATCTTATGACCTCGTATTTTTTTTACAAAAACCAAACCTACACATCCTAAGTTACATATACAGCTGTACAGTCAGCTGTCTCTAAAAGAGAAACCGTTGTCACCAGTATTAAGTGGCAATCTTAGATACATGTCCAACTCATAGAAAGCAAAATAAATGACTAAAGAATGGCAGGGACAATCTCTAGGAGTCCACTTCAGGGAAATGTCTGTGTAATAGCATTTTTCATTATGAGACAGTTGACCATGTAGAAATGTTAGAATAAATATTTGTACACTATGCATGATCAGCTAAACCTCTCCACTTCCATTTCTTTTTTCTGTCATTTTGGTTTACCTCCATGCAAAATTCATGATAGACACAGAATCATATCAGGAGAAAAAAAACTTATCATTTCCATCTTTTGTTTGTGCTGTCTGGGGATGAAAGAACATTGTGGTCTGCTCAAACTTTCTGCTTCCTGTTTCTGTCACTATGGCTTACTTTAGAGACTCAAAAATGGAAAACAGAAATGCAATAGGGGGAGAGAAAATTGTCCATTCCCATTAAGGGGCTATATGTAAATTCAGAGAGAAAGACAGGAAAGTAAATACAAAGCTACTTACTTGAGGAGCTCCAAAATAGCCAGAACAATGTCATTAACATAACAAAATCCTGATGCTTCTGATTTTTTAGCATGATGCAAGCCACCAGCCCAGTTGATGGCAACGTCTGTTTGTTGTTTATTGAGTTTCACTGCTCCAGCTACAAAAAGAGGGCAAAAATTATTGACACCTCAAGAAAGACTCCAGCAGAATTATTTAGCTATTGATCAGAATCATAATCTGCTGCTTACCTATAGAGCCACCCGTTGAGAGCTGGCAAAACTCAAACAAGCCATCAAAAACAGGACAGTCCTCTCCAACATTAACTGAAACAGCAACACAAGATATTAAAAAAGCTGGAAAAATAATAATTCCCACTTTCTATCAATTTCATCTTCATTTTCATTAGTTGTAAAAATGAAGCTATACGATAGTAATAAAAACGATTGGAATTTAATAAATATTTCCTTCCCTTAATCTCTTAAATTCGGGGCCACCTTGATTAGCTACAAACAGGGCGGTTGACTGTAAAACTATTTTTTTTCTGAATAAATCTGAAGCTGAAAATGGAAACGACAAAATAAAATACCTTCACTTTGTCGTTGACATAATACTTAGAGTGAAAAGAGATGATGAGTACACTGTAAATAGTCTCACCTCTTAGAAAAAGTAAAGAAGTTATGATGTCATAAAAACAATTTGTGAAATGATAGGATCTGTTAGAAAGAGCACGAAAAAAATAACTCCCTGCCAAAAACCAGTATTTCCTCCAGTTTTGGGTGCCTTATTAGCATCATTCCATACAAAAATGCCTCTCAATATATAAACCTGGATCATAACACTTTGATCCAAGTCAAATGTACAAGTATATGTACTGGGTCATGCATCAGATCACAGCAGTACCAATATCTCACTATCAATCACTGATACCCTAACTTTCAGCTAGGAGGCTTTTTTCTGTCTTTCTCTCTCAGGTAGTCTCAACAAATGCCATAATTTCACAAATTCTAATATTTGTGATGTTATAATTTTACTTTATTCCAATACATAAAGTTAATATTGCGGTTCAGTTTTATCTATGGTTAAAATTTTGTCCATTTGATTTTGTATCATGCATTGCCATACCTAAAATAAAGACAAAATAAAATTTGAACCATAGATAAACTGAACTACAAGATAAATTGTGTGGGTAAAATCTGTTCTATTTATACATAAAACCAGCATTTAAGCTAGTTTGATTCAGAATTTCCTCTTACGTTATTTTGCAGTAAATGGGTAACCAAAGATCAAAGACCACACAAGATCAATATATGCCATTCATTACAAGGCAATGGAGATGTTTAAAATGGGAAGACTATCTCATTATTATAGTGTCCACCTTTTCCCCTGATTTAGCTTCCATAGATAAATGTACGATGGCATATCATGTACAGCTGAACACAGTTTTCGTGAAATCGTCCCTGAAAAAAACCTGGAGGAACAATTTCCGTTCTGCTTATCGAAAAGTGAGTGGAAGAATGAATGGGAAACCGCATGCTAGTCATATTTTAATTTCTTCCGTACTTACATCTTTGCATTTGTTTGGTGTACTCAGACATATTATCAGGCCTTATGGTCTTCAGAAACTTGATGTAATCATCTGAATGGTATTTAGTCATCTCGTCCATATTTGCTTTGTGAGGGCGCTAAATTTTAAGAGTAGAAGAAAAAAATAGCGTGAAGATGTTCATTTCAATGTATGCAAATTAGCTGGGAAGAAATAATTTTGACAGCCTAATCAACTTAAAATTATTTCTACTCAGAAAATAAAGAGAACCAGCATATATACTTACGTAGATTTCCATCTTCCTGTACAAGCCATAGTTCAAAAGTAAGTTGTGGGTCATTCGAATACGATGCGGCTTCATCGGATGGCCTTGACCGTAATAGTAGTTCCCGATGTCACCTTTGTTTGGAACACGAAAAAGATGGTAAAACCATGAAGACAAAATTAGCCAACTTAAACGCCAAGAAAAGTCTTGAAACTTCGCAAAACTCGACTTAAGTTATTTATCAGCTAGTTTATGTGATGTTAAGAGTAAATGTGACGTTTACCATCGTAATAGTAGCAAACTCGCTTCTTTCCGCCGGGTGCTGTGTACGCCATGCCGGTTACTCTTCTTTTATCGGCAGCGGACTCCTCGGCACGACTTTGAAACATGGAACTTAGTCATGTGATCAAACTCAACCAATCAGAAACTTTATTTATCTTAAAAACTATTATTGTTTACTACTACTTTAATATTAAGCCATTAATGGCTTAAAATAATTATTATATGAAGTCCTTGCATTTGATAGCACGTTCTGAAACGTAATCTTTCCTGTCTAACATAGAATCAATGCGTTTCAGTTTTGGAGACGCTCCTCGTAAAATTAGACATAAGAAATCATTAACCAGCGTCTATTTATATTAGCGTCTATCCATTTTATTACAGTTTGAATATAATATCAGCCCTTAGATGAGACCGAATTAATAATAATATTCTCTCAAGTGTTCTGTCCCACGTGGTCACACTTCGCATTGCCCGCCAGACTTTTATTTAGCAAGCGAAAAAAAAAAAAGATCTCAATAATTAAACGATCAAGAGACTATCAACTCTTCGGTACTCTTGTTTCAACGTGTCTGGCTCTCACGTGATCAACATTGGCCAATCGAAAGCAGATATTCTCTTAAAAGCCTGTTGGCTAATGCATTAATAATTTGAAAATAATAATCGTTGCATGATCTATAAAAGCACGTTCCAAACGTGCCATATTTCCTGTCTGGAATGAAACTAATTTGCTGGATAGACGCTTTTCGTAAACAAAACAGACAACTTAGTATATATTTTTTATTGCAAAAATTCGGAAAAACAATCAAATCTGCGTAACAAAATAAGTATGCAACCAAGATTTGGCGTATGCGTCCAGTGCTTTTACATGAAGGCTTGAACAGGGTAGAAAAATCTTTTTAAGGAGCCTTTCTATTAGCTCTGATTTTATTTATTTGGCTGCATGTCTCCTTTCAAGGCGGAAGCGGAAATCAGTCTCTCGAAACTAGCGAGTGACGTCGAAAGAAACGTGTCAAGCTGAACGATGACGTATATATTTGCCCTGGAATTATTTATTTATTATTTATTATTGTTTTGATGAAACGGCGGCTGGGTCACATGTGGAAATATCAATGCATGCATATGCACACGTAGACTTTTTTAGAAGTCAAGCTCAAATTTGAGGAGGATAATGTCCATGTAACAGTGAAAGATGAACCACAGGTCACGTAGGCTAAGACCTATACAGCCTTTTCTTTGCAAAGCCTAAGATGGACGCTGA